CATGTTGATGAGGGGGGGGGGGGGGGGGGGAATTGGGCCTCCAGCCACCTGCACTCACCAAGCGCAACGCAAAAGTAAACCTCTACTTCACACTGGTATTCTGTGAGGTTGTGGTACCACCGCGGTTCGAAAGGGTTATTATATAAAAAGGGTTATTATAATAATAAGGAATTTATGGATGATAAAGCCCCTGGAAATGAGGTGATCGCTACCAAGCTATTTCTCATTTTTTGTGTTGTTAATTGTGTAAAATACATGATTGTAAGCTGTTATTTAAAAAAAGTCCCACTGGGTTTCTTGCTGGTTCTTCCCAGGTTTTATACAACCAGTGGTAATTAAACAAAAGAGTGACTTTCAATAATTATTATTTATAATTTATATTGAATGAAAAAGTTTCTGTTTCTGTTTCTGATCGTTACTCAACCATAAAGCCAATTACACATTTTGAAATATATTTCTACTTCATTTAAGGACAATTTTCTTTTACTGTGTAAGCAGGAATGATTCCTCAGACACGACGTAACGTCAGAAAATCCATCCCGGTGGCACTACACTATTTGCTGGAATTCCTCATAGAATATTTTGTTAGTAGCTTACATAACTCAATATCACATTCTTTCATGAGTTCATAAGTCACTATGTAGAAACTACAGTATACACAGGTTTCGGGATTCTTGGCTTAAAGACCCACATTTAAAGAATTGGTTTCAAGTGATTGAAAGAAGTACTGGTCAAGCAGTGAAATGCAAATTTTGTCGTACAATTACAATACAGTAAGCATGATGATGGAAACTGATGATGGTGGTGCCTATAAAATTATTCAACTGCAGAAGACAATTTCATTTATAGCAGTTAATTTCATAATATATTCTTGATGTTGACTTGTTTATTTACTAACTGTATGTTGATCAATCATCAATAAAATTATTATTTATTTAAAAATTTAATGTTTGTTACACAGTGTATTAATAATTAAGGTACATTACTAATATTTTTTTTTTACTAATATACATATCCTTTTCTTTGGTAATAAACAAAAATTTGTTTAGGAGAAAATTTAGGAATTATGAGTATAGGTTGGCTTTTTGTTAGTGGTTTTAGAAGTTGAATCAGGTGGAAAACTAGTGTAGTTTATGGAAACACTGTATATAATGTGATAAGACTAATGCTAGTGGCGATTTTGGGTTGGGTTTGAAAGTAAGTTGCCTGAATTTGAGGATTCTGTCACTGTCCATCTTGACCACCCCGTCAAGGAGGTTTATCTGAAGCACCCCCATGCTATTGTTGCTGCCGGAGCAGTGTTGAAGTATTTTTAATAATTTTTTTAAAATATTGGTAAATCACTAACTAAACATGAAATTAAACATACATTTAACTAAATTCTAATGTTTTTGACGTTGAATCTGTTGAAGTCATCTCAAAAATGATAAAAGCATAAAATGATTCGCTAGGCTGGCCATTTTATTGACAGTGACAGATATACTTTACGTCATTCCGTTGCTTCTGAGTTCTCCTTAACGTTTTTATCTGCCTCCTCCTGTTTTTCGAGGCCTTCACTAAACTTCGCTAATTTCGCAAAGATCCTTTTTTATAAATGGTGGGAGCTATAAATTGTTTATAAATTATATTAATTATAAAAGTTAATATTTTGGTGCAATATAATAAGAGAGCTTGTGACTTGGGGCACCCAGACTCAGACAGGTTAGGTTAGTGAGCGATCAAATAGATCCCGCCATACCTTTTGTTATTTTTTTATAAACCACTCAGAAGTAGGAGTCCATCGACCAAACTTCCCTCGATTGCGCAACGTTGAGTGGCATGGGGCTACCCTCCCCCAATTCTCTCCACCCATAAATCAGGTTTATATTGTCAAAAACATTACAAAAACAACCTCACAATGAGATTTTTAAAAATTTATAAAAAAAAACTAATCGCGTCCGGCAGGGTGGAAGTGGGGGGCCAATCTACAACCCAATTCGGCGACTTACTTTCAAACCTTACCCGCGATTTTTAGAACTAGTAAATCGGAAATATTTTATAATATAAATAGGTACTTACGGGTTCTGTCCTTATTCCAAGCGTGGCATGTTATCGGAGCGCATGAGTCACCGAAAGTTAACGTCTGAGACATTGTAAATTACTGCAAAAGAGGAATCCATTAATAAAGAATATTAATAATATAATACCAAATAATAAATTAAGAATGCATACCAAATTCTCTTCGAAAAAATAGGATAATACGACCGGTAAAACTGCTCTGCTCGGATAAACACAAGAAATCCGCGGACTCTGGTCAGTCTACGCGAATTCCCGTAGAATTTATTGGTACCCTGTAGTAATTACAGTTACCGTTTAGTTATAGTAGATACAAATATTTATTGCTATGAATATTGAATTAATGATTTACACATTACAATCACAAAATCAAATCACATTCGCAAATTCCAGTCTAACAATCAAGGAAAATACTACTCTGTACTCTCTGGTTTGACATGAACCCATAGATTACTGCATAGATAAATAAATATGTAGCAAGCTAGATTTTTTTTGCGCCCAAAAGCAATTGAAAGGGCTACCCACGGAAACGAGAGGGAGGTGGTGAATGCTCTAAGCATACCACGACAGCCGGCTGTCGTGATTATGTGGGACTCACTGCGACTAACCTAACCTAACCTAAGTGCGTACCCACTAAACACCACCTGTGAAACTAGCATCGGCTTTCTGCCGATTCGCAACCGACCCTCTTTTGAGAAAAGAGGGCGCAGACGGCGACGAGCCGCTGAGGGGGAGCCTAACTAAGGCAAATTAAGAAGAGTCGGTCTGAGCCGCCAGGAAGCAGTTCAGGTCAGCCGAAAGCTTATTTGGCGGGTCCGAGAGAGAGTTTCTCAGTCTTCGGACTCGATAGCGAGAGGGAAGTGGGGCTGCATAGGATCACGAATAAAGTGATTAGAGTGACACACTGAGGCTTTGAAAAAGTTCTCAGAGAATGTTTTCAGAAATTGCTGGACTGTGGGGAGCTCTAAGTCTCGATGGAGGTCGGCGTTACGGACGTACCAGGGTGAGTTCGTAGCTCGACGACAGAAGAGGTTTTGAACTATTTGGAGTTCGTTAATGGTTTTGGGATAAGCGTGGGCAAATATGGGGCCCACGTAAGTCATGACTGGTCGTATATAGACCTTATAAAGGGTTCGCTTGTTGCGGAGGGACATTTTACTGTGTCGGCCCAACATACTGTTGAGCTTACTGAGATACAAACGTGCGTTGCGGGTTACTCTTTTGACATGGGGTCCGCAGGTGAGCCTCGTGTCAAGGGCGACACCTAAATATTTGGCAGTCATATGCCAGGGGACAGGGGTCCCTAGTATACGGATTGCTGGAATGTTATTGAGGTGGCGTCGTTTATGAACTCCAACGTTCCGAAGTGAATGGTGGAGTTCTTCTCCGAGTTCACATCGATGCGCCATTTTTGGAACCAAGCTCCTAAGTCTTCAACTGACTTTTAGATCTTGTTCCGTATGAAAGGTAGTGAGACACCTTTACAGAAGAGAGCAGAGTCGTCTGCGAAGAGGGAGAGCTGAACACCTTTCGACGGGATGGGAATGTAGTTGGTGAACAGGATATACAGCAGAGTGGCAAGACCGCGATGGTCTTATGACGACGAGGATAGAAACCGCTGAGGATATATTCCACAATACGGTGAATTTGTTGGGGACAAGAATGTTTCGCTCGGAAAACAAATTAGTGGGGGATGACAAGAGGGTCACCGTCTGTGGGAAACAGATGGAACCTCATGCGAGTGAGGATGACTCTTTCGAGTTTGAGAGTTTGCCCATGGCCTTGAGGAGGCTGATGGATCGATGACTTACACACAAATCTACAATGGTTCAAAAGTTGAAAATAAAGTAGCCTGTGCATTTTACATACCTTATCTGAAAACTGGACGTGGCCTTTCCATTCCTGCATCAGCAAGCATATACACTGCAGAATGTTATGCTGTCTTAATCGCTCTTAAATATATAGAAGAACACCCACATGTATCTAATAAATGGTTATTGATCTCTGATAGCATGAGTGTCTTGAAGGCACTGAAGGCAAGTGCTTTAGATGCTAAAACGTCTTTCATCATATATGAAATCAAAAGTTTGTAGTGGAAATTGAAAGAAAATAATTTGGAAGTAAATTTTTTATGGACTCCGTCACATATTGGGGTTCAAGGAAATGAAAGAGCAGACCATTTAGCTAAAAGTATAGTTACAGCTGATATTTAAAGGATAACCGATGTTGCAATACCACATACAGATTTATATTCAATTTTAAAAAAACAGTTAAAAGAAGAATGGAAAATGCAATGGAATGCTGTTTTAGAGGCAGGAAAAGGTCGTTGGTATGCATCAATTAATTCAGAATTAAGTATTCCTTGGTTTTGAAAATTTTATACAATAATGTGCAGACTTAGATTTGGCCACTATCGACTGAACGCTCATCTTTCCAGGATGAGAATAGTAACATCTGCAACATGCAATTTCTGCGATACAGAAGCAGATCAGACTGCAGAACATATAATATTTAATTGCCCAGCGTACGCCATTGAAAGATTGCTACTCATTGAAAAACTTATACAAGTTTATGAAAACTCAGAAAGCGTCCCGCGTGCCCTGCAAGATGTTCTTAGGAATACTAAGACATATTTAGCACTATGCAGTTTTATTCATAATACTGTAAAAGAAATATGAAATATGGTATCCCTGTTTTTGAAAATATTGGATTGACAAATCTACACGGATTGAAACCTACAAAGAATATAATATAAAGAAGACTTGGCTTTAGCCTTTACGGGTTTTTGAAAATATGAAGAATTAAAGAAAATAAGACTTGACTTCGGCCTTTATGGATTTTGAAGAGATGGAAAGAAGAAAAATAAGACCTGGATCCGGCCTTTACACTTTAAAATTCTATGTATTCAAAATAAAAAAGACAAGGCTGTATGGCTTAGTTCCTTTGCCTGCTCTCTCGAGCAAATAATAAAAACAACAACAACAAAATAGGAAAAAAACTAAACAAACAACTGTATTTTGAAGTAAATAGTATCAAGGATTAATTTTAACATGTCTGGAAGAGGTAACCAGGATTTTCTTCTTTTATCATTTATAATTAAATAATAGTTAAACAATGTTGTTTTGTTTTCATCTTATTTCTTTAGGTAAATATCGTAATAACCGCCATCGCGACAATAAGCACACGCTGTCCTCGGTTGCCCGAGAAACTGCTGTATCGTTGCCAGCTGATAGCCCGATACTGGCTATGTTCAAGACAGCTGCTTTGAAACTTAACGCTCGTCAGGATCGCCACGAACGCTTGGTGAAATTATCCAGGGATATTACAATTGAAAGCAAAAGAATAATTTTTTTATTACACTCTGCCATTACGTGAGTTTAAAATATTTTAAATGAATTTAATGGTGCCAGATTCTGATATAATTAAGCATCCTTTTTTTGAAAAGATTTTGAATGAACTGCTACATTGTGAACGAACCTGTATGTCGGAACAAGAGAAAGAAATTGAACAAGTGAACTCTCCTAACATGTGAATGATTGAAATGGCGAACTAATTACACATTATCCCTCTCAGAAATGAGAGAAAACCTGTACCCAAGATTATAATGTTTACTTTTATACACGCAAAATATGCACTTAGACGTGGAGTTGCGGAAAATAGCCTATCGTAAACTAACTACATTTTTATGTAAAACTAGCGATCCGCCGCAGCTTTGCATGGGTTGTTTCTGGATCTCTACAACAGCGCCACCTACCAGGTCCAATTGAGTTTTTAAACTATCTAGGGAGCCACTTAGACACACACAAGGAAAAATTGATCAAAATTGGTTGAGATATTTTCGAGTTTGTGTGAAGAGTTTTTTGGGTAAAATCAAACTTACAGTACACCTGATAGTAAATGACTACTCCAGCCAACAGACACCTGCAACTCATTTTAAATAAAGAAGGCTACATATTCGTTATCACCTATGAGGAATAAGATGGAATGCCTTATAGCCTGTAAATATACTGGCTCTCTTTACCCTTCATACCGGAATACAGCTGTGCTTGTACCGCTAATTGGCTACAAATATAAATAAGAGGGTGATACCTATTTAGATGGACTCCTAGGCAGAAAAAGCGTCCTACCACCTAGTACTTAATATTAGACTTGCAACCAGTAGTATATTTGGCCACATGCCAAATACCGAATATTCTGCAGACTTCCTGGCTGAATAGCCCAATGTTAGGCAAAAGTATTGGGCCGGGAAAGAAGTAGTGTTTATTCTTCAGAGCGTCTATTCTCTGAAGTAGGATTTGTCTATGAGAAGAAATGGAGTAAACTACTGTCTGAAAATGAAGAAAAATTTGTCTTTCTGCACCATTATCTTCCAATTTAATTACAATAATTATTTGATGGCGTAGACCTTTATGTGATAGTTCTTTTTTTAAATTTTATAATATGGAAGTTGATTATGTACCTATGACTTCTTTAATGATTACTGTAATGATTAAAAGACAAATAATAATTATAAAATAAATAAATATTTTCATTTTACTAATTATCTGACTTCAATAAAACCTCTATATATAATAATAGCTGAATATATGTTGCAAGTCTACTTTTTATTCTTCCTTTTTTATTTACTTATATTGTACATAGTTCATTAATTTTAGCAAAGAAGCATGTGAAAAAGCAGTCTCAGAGGCAAATGAAAGACTTCAAAAGTTGGTTAAAGGCCCAATCAAGAGTATAGGGTTAGAGCTCGAAAATGTTCCAGCATACTTACATTCTAATGCTGTTACTGCAGGCTTCCAGGAGTTCATTGAGGCACAAACACTGTGCTCTTTAATGGAAAGACAGTCTATAATAACCTGGCGCGAAGTGCAGAATGACCTTACATATGAAGTTGAGGATATAGCTAAGGATGAATCTGAGAGGACAGTTGTGACCATGCTGACACAAAATGATTATATGCTTGGCTTAGCTGACTTGACTGGTGAACTAATGAGGAGAGCCATCAATAGTATTTCCAGTGGAGAAAGTGAGGAATGCTTCAACTGTTGTCAAAATGTCAGGGAGCTGTATACAGGCTTTTTAGGTAATAGTTTTACATAATTTTTCTTTCTTTTTGAAAAAAAAAAACAAATTAGCACTGACTCCTTGGCACATCTACGCTCCTTACGGCGCCACGATTCGAGGGCGGATTCGCATAGATCTCGACAAGATACGCTGAAAAGTAAGAATAAATTTTTTTGATATGTCGCTTAGAGTCCGGGATATCGATACTCAATAATTACTTTTTTTACACAGGAATATTGACCCAAAGTTACTTCTACAACGGCTTCGGCGCTGCGGGAAGTGTAGCCCCTTCGCCCTTGCGTAGCAAATCGTAGACATCCATGCTCACTTCCGTAGCTTTGGCTTATTGTCAGCCTCAGCCGCTACTGCTCACACAGGTGCCTGCTATTTGCTACAATGGGCGGAGGCTGCTTTCTCTCCGCGCCTACGGCTTTACAAAAACACTGGGAGTAGGGCAGACAAGATTACGTGAAGTTGGGGCTTGCTGATTGATGAGTATTCGATTTTTGAGTATTGATATCTTGGAAACTAAGAGAGATATTGAAAAAAATTATATCATCGTACTTTTCGTCGTTTCTCGTCAAGATCTAAGCGAATCCGCATTGAAATCGTGACGGTGGAGGAACCGTAGAAGCACCGTCTCCTGTAACATGAAAGCATGTTACATACATAAAAAACATGTGAACAAGCAGCAGACCTGGAACTAAAATTCAAAGGTAAATCTAGGGTTTATTTATTTATTCTTTATTGTATTCTATATAAAAATAAATTCAAAGAATGAATATGATGCCTTTAGGCATTCTCTACCAGGTCACTGTATTTTGTATATTATCATTTTGCCTACACAGCATGAGCATAGTATTTACTGTAAAATAGTGTTTAGTTGTAATAAAATATATGTATAATGAATCTTAATACCAAAGTCACTAATTCTTCCATAGGGCAATGTATACACATTTTTCAACAAAGTCCCAGAAAATATGCGGAAGTTTCTATCAAGAAGTTTTAAATTTTTAAGCAAAAGTTTAAAGTAAATTATGTATGTACCAATAGTATAAATATCGTCACGAGTCATGAGCACCATGCAACATTTGCGCATGCCACGTTTACCAGCCAAAATGTTACAGGCGAATGTTGCATCATCATCATTACAGCCCTTCACAAGTCCACTGCTGAACATAGGCCTCCCCCAAGGAATGCCACAAAACACGGTCCTGAGCCACTTGCATCCATCGACTACCTGCATATCTTACCAGGTCGTCACTCCATCTAGTGGGGGGACGCCCAACACTTCGCCTGCCGGTACGAGGCTGCCACTCGAGAACCTTTTTTCCCCATCGGTTGTCGGTTTACTAACTATAACAACCAATGGGTTTCGTCCCACGGCTCTTTCTACCGACTTCAAAAAGGAGACGGTACTCAAATGTTTTTTTTATGTGTATTACCTCATAACTTTTATCTGGGTGAACAGATTTCGATGATTCTTTTTTTATTTTAAAACTGGTACTTTACATGTGATCCCATATAAATTTGATCAAGGTCTGACCAAATAGGTTTTGAGTTATTCTTAATAATTTATATAGAAGTCGGTTGTACAAAATTTTTAATTTAAAATTATTATAGCATAAGGGTGACACCTCAAAACTTGAATACGGCCGGCCATATAGCTCGAAGAACCGACAACCGATGGGGAAGAAAGGTTCTCGAGTGGCAGCCTCGTACCGGCAGGCGAAGTGTAGGGCGTCCCCCCACTAGATGGAGTGACGACCTGGTAAGATATGCAGGAAGTCGATGGATGCAGGTGGCTCAGGACCGTGCTTTGTGGCATTCTTTGGGGGAGGCCTATGTTCAGCAGTGGACTTGTGAAGGGCTGTAATGATGATGATGAAGGGTGACAAACGAGTACACAGTCTTATCTGATGGTAAGTGGATACTGACAACATATATTTATCCTCGGTTAAGAATTAAAATGTAAATGCACTGTCTGTCACCCCTGAAGACTAAGATGGAATGCCTCGTATTCATTAAAAAGGGTAACCGGTTCTCTACACTCACCATACGAAACACAGCAGCATTAAGCTGCTATTTTACGCTGGTATTCTGTGATAGCCCGGTTCTCTCGGTAAAGCCAACTCTTATCGATATTTTATACTATATTGCGGAGAATTGAGCGTAGCTTAGTGCGTAATGTATTAGAACGGTAGTGTCGGTATAGTAGTAAACATAGAAAGAAGTCTATGAATGTGATTAAGAAGACTCATTATTTATGTGCGCACTATGTCAACGTGATCCGTAATTTATTTCAGACTAGCTGTACCCCGCGACTTCGCACGCTGGTTTTAATTTTTTTTAGCGCAACCCTGAACCTTTTACTAAAATAAAAGTAGCCTAAGGTACTCGTTATAACATTAGTTTTTAACAGTGGTAGCGCCATGCGGCAGCTTTTGCTGTTGCAAGTATGGGTCGCCTCGAGCCGGGGTGGTACCACGACCTCACAGAATACCGGCGTGAAGTGGAAGTTCTGCTTCCGCGTTTCGTCTGGTGAGTGCAGGTGGCCGGAGGCCCAATCCCCCCTCCCCCCCCATCAACATGGTAGCGCAATTAAACGGAAGACTACCCCAGGAGGGTACCAGCACCCCTAGAGATTCCCTCGCTGAGCATAGATGACCAAGCTACTCTACTCCTGAATGTGGTGCTCAGGCTGCCCCGTGAATTCTTGCAAAATTCCGCTCAAGACAATAACTGCTCGGGGCAAGCTGAGCAACAAGATCAAAGCGACCCTTGCCACTATCCGTGAATTTCTGCAACATCAGGGGACTTCACTTGAACGTAAACGCCGTCCATTACCATCTCGAGACAGCGAAGCCGGCCTTGCTCTTTCTGACCGAGACGCAGGTGTCTTCTCCGGCTGATATTTCGTATCTGTCCTATCCGGGGTACAAATTGGAACACTCCTTTGTGCCTTGGGCTGGAGTTTGCGTATAAGTTAGAGAGGACACCTGTTCTTGACGTCTCAGCAGTCTTGAAGGTCGGACATATCCATCCTTTCTCTTCGCGTAGACAGCGACGACCATCCGCACGTCTACGAGTGCCTCTATAGGTCCCATAGCGGTAATGCCGAAACAGACCGACTCATCAACCATGTCCAAATGGCTACAGATTCCTTGCTACAACAGGTCTCATCCGCAGAGATCGTGATTCTCGGCGATTTTAACGCCCACCACGCCGAATGGCTCGGTTCACGTTTAACCGATCATGCGGGGAGATCTGTTCATGATTTTGCCTTGGCGGATTCCAGATGTGGAAGATCATGCACCTTCCCTGTTGGATCTTCTGCTGACCTCTCACCCGGACAGATCAAGTCTCAGTCGACGCGCCTCTTGGCTCCTCGAACCATTGTCTAGTCCGGAGTGTGGTGCCACTCACACTGAAATCATGGTTGCACTCTGCAGGCTGCCGCCGTGTTTGGCACTATAGGTCGGTTGATTGAGATAGGATGCGGTCTTTATTTATAGATATAAGATAGCAACGTTGTTGCTAATTCTGTGGTACTTTCAGGGTATAGAACTTTTTATTCCTTCCTCTGTGGTGCCCATCGGAGACAGATCTCGACCATGGTTTAGTTGCTCCTGTAAAATAGCATCAAGCTATAAGCTTGAGTGCTACCGGGCCTGGGCTGACGCATCAACGTCTTGGGATGTAAACACCAGCGCCCTTAAAAAGAAGTATAATTCCGCCTTAAGGTCCTTCAAAAGAGTCCTTGCCGAGGCAAAGTCATAGCACATAGGCTGAATTGGCGAAAACTAGTTGCCTTTCTTCGTTAACCCGTGCATTCTGGTCTCTCGCCAAGGCTGTTCCAGGAACTTCTGTAAACCATCTCTGCACAGGGAGGACGTCTCACTGGCCCATGCCGCAAAGGAGAAAGCCGATCGGCTAGACTCTTTCTTTGCGTTCAACTCTACTCTGGATGACGGGGGTAACACACCGCTGACCATCCCGCGGTGTGAGTGCTCCATGCCGGATGTGCGATTCATACAGCGCTGGGTTCGCAAAGCACTCACTCCTGTTCCTGGACATCCACAAGTCGAGTGGGCCTGACGGAATCTCTCCAGTTATGCTGAGGACGTTTGCTCCAGTTGGCACTGGTTCATGGAAGACGGCTTTCGTCCACCCGATCCCTAAAAAAGGCGACCGCTCAGACCCGTCTAACTACAGGCCTATCGCTATCACCTCCTTGATCACCTCCAAAATAATGGAATCCATTATAAACTGCGAGCTCATGTGGTACCTTCAGGATCACCAGCTAATTAGTGACCGCCAATACGGTTTCCGTCGGGGTCGATCAGCTGGTGGATCTTCTGGTCTACCTGACTCATAGATGAGCGGTGGCAGTAGAGTCCAAGGAAGAGACATTGGCTGTTAGTTTGGACATTGCGAAGGCCTTCGATCGGGTTTGGCACAAAGCGCTTCTAACGAAACTCCCTTCCTATGGGCTTCCCGAGAAATTGTGCAATTGGATCACCAGCTTTCTTGCAGATTGGAGCATCAAGGTCGTTGTAGACGGTGCATGCTCCGATTACAAGCCTATTAACGTTGGTGATCCACAAGGCTGCGTGCTATCACCAACACTGTTTCTTCTGCATATCAATGATATGTTGCAAACCGGTAACATTCATTGCTACGCAGATGACAGCATTGGTGATGCTCTATAACCCCGGCCGTACCAATATTTCTCGGGAAAACGTCGCAGAGTACCGGAACAAACTTGTGTCTGAAGTCGAGACTTTGCTGAACAAAGTCTCGGATTGGGGGCGACTAAATCTAGTCCAGTTTAATCCTCAGAAGACACAAGTTTACGCGTTTACCGCTAAAAAGAACCCCTTTGTCGTATTTCCTCATTTTCAAGGCACACCCTTTGTGGTCTCAGCCAGTATCGGAATCCGTCGACATATCGATTGGCGCGCAGTATCGTGGTTACTTGGAAGAGAAGTTCAAATTGGTTTCTAAAAAGCTTGGCGTGCTCAGCAGAGCGGGACAGTATTTCATGGCGGCATAACGCCTGTAACTTTACAAGTCGCAGGTTCGGCCTCACATGGAATACTGTTTCCATCTCTGGGCAGAGGCTCCCCAGTGCCAGCTCCTTCCACATGACCGCATCCAGCGCAGAGCGGCTCGAATCGTCGACGACCGAGTACTTTCCGATCGGCTCGATTCTCTGGCGCTGCGAAGAGATGTTTCATCCCTTTGCATTTTCTTTCGCATATGCCACGGGGAGTGTTCTGAGAAATTGTTCGGATCAATTGCAGCCACTAAATTTTACGAACGCACATCGTGGCAAAACTCTCAATACCATCCATACCATCTGGATCTTCATTTGGAGTTTTCTTCCGCGCACGAACTGTCTGTAGAAACAGTTTATCACCGGCGATTTTTCCATGAAAAGAGCTTACTCTTTTGCTAAAGATTAAAAGCAGCTGTGTGCGTTGCCGGCCTTTCCTCCTTTCTTTTCCCCGGAATTCCCCTGGTGTTGCAGTTGTTCATGTGCGGCGGTAGTCACCATCAGGTGAGTTGTATGCTCGTTTGTCCTCTCCTATAAAAAAAGAAAAGCTATTTGCCAGTTAGTCTTGTCAAAATAGGTCCAGCCGTTTCAGAGATTAGCCGGAACAAACAGACAGATAGATTTTTTTTTTAAATTGTGTTTTTGTTATAAGTACCATATATACTTTCATATGCATTTAATAAAAAGCTGTTATTTTGATATTACAAACAGACGCTTCAATTTTATTTATTTGTATAGATATTGTATGTAACTTTATTTCGTGTTTGTCTAAAAACAGTAACTGTCGTTAATGAAAATACAACTGCACGGCATGTTCACCGCGCTAGCTACCCGCACCAACGCCTGCGCTATCCACAGCTGTGACACAGTTTTTGTTCTGAATTGCCGGTCTAGTAGTATGCATAGAAGTGTTTGTGCCGTGCCGCTTCGTATAGTGCATTGCGTTGAATGGGTTGTGTGTTGTTGTGGCAGGCGTGACCGGGTGCGGGCGCGAGCTGGTGCGCAAGCTGGGCACGACGCGGCGCAACGTGGAGAAGGTGGAGGGCGCGGCGTACGCGCTGCGCGTGCGCGGCGGCGAGGCGCCCGGCGCGCTGCTGCCCGCCGCGCTGCTCGCCGCGCCCGAGCCCTGGCCCGAGCCCGCGCTGCACCACGACGACCACGACGAGGGCTTCTACTGAACCCAACCACCTGTTTAAGCTTAATAAACCGATAGTCTTGCCTTTTTCGTTTTATTTTGGTGGTCTTTCTTTAAACGTTACCTCTTCACTAGGATTTTCTCCTGTGTCGTGAAAGCAATTTACTAACATGAATTGCACAAGGAAAAACATCGAAATCTGGAACAATTATTCGTATTCCATACAAATACTTGTTCCTTGCGAAATTCGAACCCGAATCTGCGCCACGGAACTGTCATTACTCTGAACCCGGCACTATTTTTGGCAACAGCCAATAAATGGCTCGAACTTGCACACTTCCTCGGCAAATGGAAAGAAGCGGCAGTAGTGGACCTACGAAAACCTGGAAAAAAGGACTACACGTACCCCAAATCCGATCGGGCTATTGCCTGTTCTGGGAAAAATATTAGAAAATATGACTATAAGAAGAATCAAGTGGCACATCGTACCTTAGACAAGCAAAAACCAATACGGCTTTATGCCGCAGCGTAGTACCGAAGACTCCCCTTTATGACATGATGCAGCATATAAAAACTAAGATTAAAGATAAAAAATTGGTCGTACTCGTATCACTTGACATAGAGGGAGCCTTTGACAATGCTTGGTGTCCAGCTATACGATGTGCACTTGCAAAGACCGGATGCCCGATAAATCTGAGGCGACTGATAAATTCATCTTGAGGATAGATCAGTGTAAGTCAAATACTCAAAGGCAGAATGGGTCAAGAAGACCACGAAAGGATGCGTGCAGGGCTCAATAGGCGGACCAAGCTTTTGGAACATCCTACTCGACCCACTATTGCAAGAGTTAAACGACAAAGGGGAACACTGTCAGGCTTTCGTAGACGATGTGGTCCTAATTTTCTGTGGAGATAAAGCACTGGAAGTGCAGGAACAAGCAAATGCAGCCTTCCCACATGCTCAGAGGTGGGGTATCAAAAATAAGCTTAAACTTGCTCCACAAAAAACGAAAGCAACGATCATTACGAACAAGATAAAATATGACTCACGACTTCTGAAAATGGGCGGGGAAAGCATTGGATTTTCTAAAGAAATAAAAATACTCGGCCTCACAGTTCACGACAGGCTAACCTTCAACACGCACGTGAAGTATGTGTGCTGTAAGGTAAAGAACCTGAATCGCCAGCTGTGTAGGGCCGCAAAGATTCATTGGGGTTTGAACCCCGAGATTGTTAGGACTATATGCATAGCGGTAGTAGAGTCGATTATATTGTATGCGGCAAGCGCATGGGACCAGCAACAATTAAACAAATGACTAAAAAACAACTCGACATGGTGCAACGCGGGTTCGTACAAAACTGTTTCTCTACACTCGGCTCGGCTACTCGCCGGGTTGCTTCCTTTGGATTTGAGGGTCCAGGAAGCATCCTTGCTTTATAAAGTAAAGAAAGGTTTTTCCCGGCGAGTGGTAGAGGATCGAGATATGAAGAAAGAAGTGGAATATGGAACGATGCCACACCCAGCAGACGAACATGGCCTGCAATATATATACTTGGAGAACGGGGCACAAATGGACCAACATGACAACAAAGGCCTCAAAATATATACTGATGGCAGTAACATCGAGGGGAAAATCGGCGCTGCATTATCCATTTGGAATGATGCAGCGGAGACAAGTAGCCGAAAACTAAAGTTGGGAAATTTCTGCACCCTCTTCCAGGCGGAGTTGCTCGCTATTCGAGAAGCAACTATGTACGCGTTAAAACATGCTGCGCAAAATTGTCACATATATAGGGACTCTCCAGACAGTTGTACAAAGCGTTTCCCTCCATCCCCTGGCGGCAGAGACTAGAAAGAACATCAGCCACATAAACAGGCATGGAAAAACCCTCTAACTATTTTGGATTAAGGCTCACGCAAGATTGGAGGGAAACGAGAGAGCAGATATACTAGTCAAAGAAGCCGCATTAAAAATAAAAAGAAGGCACGACTACGAGAAGTGTCCGGTTTCATTCCTTAAGCGACAAATTCGACTGGGATCGCTTGACGAATGGACCGAAGATACACAACAGGTGAACACTACTGAACTCCATTATCAAAATATTCGTTCCCGATGCCATAGATGCCTACCATATTATTAGGAAAATAGATATACATCCAGAAACTGTACAAAAGATGACAGGTAATGGCGGGTTCTCTGAATATTTATACCGATTTAAATGTAGGGAGAGCCCGGCATGCGCCTGTGATCCAGCAAGAGAGGAGACGGTTATTCACCTTATAACCGAAAGCCGTATTTATAGTAGAAAAAGGGTTGATTTAGAATTAGAGATAGGAATTAAAGTAAACAAAGATAACGTATATAAAATAATTAGAAACAAACATCCACGTGGTAGAGCCATGCTGCAGCTATATTAATAGTATAGTTGTAGCACGAATTGGTCGGCTCGACCGGGGAAGGACCACGCTTTCACAGAATACCAGCGTAAAATAGCAGCTTAATGCTGCTGTGTTTCGTATGGTGAGCGTAGAGAACCGGAGACCCATTTTACTGGAAAAGAGGCAATCCATCTTAGTCCTCACGGGTGACAACGCATCTGCATTTTGATTCGCAAACGAAGATAGATGTAGATGTCTATGGGCCACAGCAACCACTTACCATCAGGTGGACTGCGTGCTCGTTTATCACCCTTATTCTATAAAAAAAAATATGGTAGAAACAGGTTTCTAAAGTATTGTAAGAATATAGCACATAAGGTAATAAATAAGAATAAATAATAGTAGTATTAAGGGATAATTGTAACATAATATATACAAATATATAATGTAAACAGTCGATACAAAATAAGTAATAGCAAAGTAAAAAAAATATTGTACCTAGAATTAATTAGATAAAAAATGAAAAAGAACCTACAAAAGAAATAAAGAAAACTGAAATAAAAATAAAAAATAATAAGAATGTAAATATAAAGAAAAGAACATGTCAGGGACACTAGATAAAAAAATCCCCAGGTTTCTCGCGGTACTGAAATTTATGTACAGTTAATAATTAATCTAATTTGATTTTAAAAATTGAAGGTATAAATAAACATAGAATGTTACATATTTGTTAGTATATTTATTTTGTCACATAAAAACATATAATTTATAATTATATCTCATGTCATAAGGCAACATTATACATTAGTTACTATTATACTTTTGTATGCATACATTAATAATAAGGCACATCCATTTTTAGAAATAGTTTGGATTTAAAAAAATATGCTTCAATGCTTTAAAAAATATATACTTAATTAAAAATCCCTCTTTCAACAAATTATTAATTGGAAAATTATAAAACACATAAAAGATGTCATGCACAAATTCGGTATATTTTCGTTTTATCCAGATATTTAGGTAAATCATTTTATGCAATATATAAAATAAAAAAGCAAGAAGAAAAAATCATTTTTAAACAACCAACTCAGATTTTTTCACAATTCAAGGGTGACATCTAATAATGCAATATAAATAAAAAACATGAAAAGTATGTACCTACTATAAAAATAATTGGCATGTAGAGATTCATTACATAATATTGATATTAAATACATCTAAAATTAGTATTTTTAAATATTTCTTAACCTAAACTGGTAAATAGTCTATACATCTATGTTAAATACATTTAATTCATTTAATATTCCATAACATTACATGGCAGCATTCAACCTAGTCAGTTTAGCACCTATTAATATGTATTATAATTACAGCTAGTAATGACATATAATTTGTAATATTTTTAATGAACAATAATTAGAAAAACACAACCTAATTACTAAACAACAATTAAATACTGGCAGTTACAAAAAAGTTTTAGGTGGTATATAATTTTACGTCAACTTTGGAGTATACGAATTATCAAGGTTACAGCTGTTACGGTCTCGCCCCTTCCGCTTTTACCTAAGTCGAGAATTATTCACTCGCTATTATGATACTATATCCTAATAGCGATACTATATAGTAACATACATAGTTTTGCAGATTATGCCATCCATAGAATTAAACACAAAATTATAGCACACCTTAGGTAAAGCATAATTGGTTACCCCACCAACTTATAGCCGTTAACTGAGTTACCGTGCCAATAAAAAAGTATATTTGTATATCTAATTGGCAAAAAGAAACGCTATTGGGGAAATCAAGCCTTCCTTACACAATTGTGTAAGTGTATGGGCACAATAATTATTTTCGCTTCATTTGAATAAAACTCAACTTGAATACGCAGTATGTGTTGTAATTCTATGTTGCCATCATGTAGGTAATATCAGCTCCCAAAAAATACAACCCGAGTATTTTCGCTGAGGTAAATTAGTGTATATTCTATATAAAATATAATAAAAACCATGATATCTGAAATATATCTCTAAAATTATTTTGAAAATCGGTATATTTCTAAATGACTATGTATTGTAATCAAAGTTTATTTCTTTGCCATTGTGCTTGATGTATTCATTACAAATGTTGCAGATGTAAGTAAGTTTAATTACTTGTATGTTTTATCCAAATAAAACAATTAACCATCATTACTGTGCTCTGTTTGTACCCGGAAACACCAATTATTTATATCTATAAATGTGTAATAATTCATGTTAAATTTTTGTTATTGGCAACCCTAAGCAATTTAGAATTGCAATATGGTGTTAATGTACATGACCATAAAAATGCAATTTTGCAAACGCTCAGCGCTTCATCTTCTCTAAAATAGGTAGCACCATTTCAAAGGAAGGTCGTTTGCCGGGATCTTCGTTCATGCATATCTTGATCAGTTTGGAGATGTGAGGGGAAACTCCGGGTGGAATAGTGACACGTAACCCTTCGAGTGCAATCTTCATACCGCACTCCATCGGCGATAAATCAGCGAATGGAATCTATTTAACCAAAATAAACAAATTAAATTAAAATAATTTTTACAGATTTTATCGCGTTTTTTTGAATATTAATTTTTGGTCCGATCTACGCAGATCGGATCTTGAAGTCTTGGTGGTATGCTTGGGTTTGGATTTAATTTTATTAATTATAGGGTCCCAAGCAGATTGTAGCACTCATCCATCTTCTCTATTGAAATTAGGATGTTTTTTATTTTCAATAGCCTTGCGAATCGTCCTTGGTAGGAATCGGTGTTCTTTTGTGAGGATTTGTGGTCTATCAAATTCACGCAGGTTTTAATAGATCTTTTTGTTTGTCCTATGTAAGAGAGACCACATTCACAAACCAGCTTGTACACTCCTGCATCTTGTGGAGGCATATGACACTTGACGGATGGTAAAAATTGACTAATCTTCTTCGGCGGCTTGAAGTATGTTTTAATGGAAGCTCGCTTCAAGATGTAGCCAACTTTGCCTGTGACTCCTCTGACATAGTAGTACAGCAGGCAGACGCTCGACTGTGGCCGGCTTCACTCGGTCACTGTGACGTAGGCGCGAGACCCGAAGCTTGTTGTTTTGCAATACTTACTCGACGTGTTAAAGCTCGGTGGCCAGATGTTTTCTGTCACAGATCCCTCGTGCTCTCTTAAACAAAGATTTAGCCATGGTAGCTAACTGTGATGGATGATGGTGCGATTCACCACTTAAATATCGGTTGGTATGGACCTTTATCCTATACACAGTGTGACCAATAGTGTTATCAGGATTTTGGATGACTAAACATCTAGGAAGGCTAAAGAATTGTTAGCCTCTAACTCCATTGTGAATTGTATTTTAGAGTTTATGGAATTAAGGTGGTCTAAAAATGCAGTTACTTTGTCAGATGGTAAAGTTGTGAAAGTGTCGTCTACATACCGCTTGTAGAATATTGGATTTACAGGAACAGTAAGAAGGGCTTTCTCCTCAAAGTCCTCCATGAATATGTCGGCGACTACTTGGGGAGATTTAGTTATGGCGAGCTGAGTTTCGGGTATTAAAAAGTTAAATTAAATTAAACGCGATAAAATCCATAAAAAATTGTTTCATTTAATGTATAGTCTTCGCGTAAATATAAGAAATCATTACAAAATAAACATAATCAAGACCTGTGCAAATTTCAAATAGTTTTTATCAGTTGCATATATTGTACAAAACTGCATAGCAGCTCGCGCAAATAGGTCTATAGATCATACAAAAAGTGGTAGTTAAATTAATTTGTCATAGATGTCACGCTTGGCAAACGGGTTGGCAACAGCAGTTTTTTTTAAATATTTTAGTTGTTATTGTGCTGCTGCCCATTTTCTGATTTGTTTCCTTTTGAGGTAGGGAGTACTATCTCTGTGTATGAAAAACTGTCCGTCGAAATGCGTTAAATTAGGGTGGCGCTACAGTAGCTAATAGTAAATTTTTGGATGAAAAAATATTAGAATAAATCATAAAAACGATTGAAAATATTTTTATTGGCATAAAAAAAATAAGTCTTTTAAAAATATTGAATTTTTTAACTCTGCACACTTCCATCCCATCTACAACTGCTACATTCATACCGTACCAAATATCATCTGCGCTAGCGCCATTCTGAAAGCTTTTTGAAATGTTATTTCAGTTTACAAATGAGCATTTTTCATCTTGTGATGGCATATGAGATAGTCCTCCTTACCTCTACCATAGGTACTTTTGTCGCTTCTTACGACACCCACGGCACGATATTATTGAGTAGTGAATATTCTTACACCGCCACTATCAATATAGTATCATTTATCGCGCGTCATACTCGTGTCTAAAATACGGTATTTCGTTCAACCTGACTTTAATACCTCACTCCATAATGTTTTTTAATAAACACGTGTAAATTTATATGTGAAATGGCAGCCATTCAGTTTCTTAATCGAAATCGACATGATCGAAGTTTCTTACTAAATAAACAGATTACAAATGTGAATTCAGAAAAAAAAGTAAAGATTTTATTAGGTTGTAAAATTATTTATGACCAGACTAGTTTCATATACGAGTACAAATATTGCTGTGCTTACCTCTCTAGTAGCGAGTTCCCAAAGCAAGACTGCAAAACTCCACATATCAGCAGCCTCCCAATTACGTTTAGATGCAGGCTTCATCAAAGCCTCAGGAGACATCCAAGCTGGGGCATAAATACGTCCTCGCTCTTGGAATGAGAACTTCGAATCTGCCATATTGATGCGAGCCGTAAGGTCTTCGTCAATCTGATAAATATATAATAAATACATATTATCAATGCGGAATTAAAAAACTGAGACATGTAGATTAAAATAAATAATTTTATTAAGCTTTAAACTTCACAAACAAGAGGTGGACTGTTTTAATATATTTCTAAGCAAATGCTTTGTTGTTCATATACTTTCTCTACATCACTAAAACACATATTATGCCGTAAGGTTACGGCTAGCGACGGCCCGTAGAAGATAAACGCTCACTTATATATATTTCACAGAATGCTACTCGCATTCTGTGAAATATATATAAGTGAGCTGAGAGTGTGAGTTTCCCTATGCGTTACATATTAGTTGGACAATTTCCATGGGTTAATAATATCTGTTTCGTCTTTTGTAACTTTTTTGACTGTACCAAATGATCGATCATTGGGCAAAAACGAATGACCACGGATGGGCAATCGATGGTAGATGTTATCAAATCGGCCTGTATCTATCTATAAGAGCTTGACATAAGCTTATTATTACATGATTACGGTTTTGTCCACCACACGCATCTGTAAATATGTAAAGTTCTCTTATTGTTAGAAATACCTGTTCCTTAATATATTGCTATAACAATGAGCCTGTTTTATTGGGGCCTATTCGTCCGATCTCCTCGTGATGCTTTGGTGGTTCGGTCGTGTAGAGAGAATGAATGAGGAAAGAGTGACAAAGCAAATTTATGTGGCAGAGGTGAACGGCAGAGTCGGGAAGGGACGCCCTAGGCGAAAGTTTATCGACCAAATTGGCGATATATTGAAAATGGGCCAAATCAAGACTACCTTTAACCGACGAGCGTGTATGCGTAGGTATATAGATGTGGAGGAAGCGAGAGAGGTGTGTCAGGATCGTGCCAAATGGAAGTCCATAGTCTCTGCCTACCCTTCTGGGTAACAAGCGTGAGTGTTTATATTATATTTCCTCGTGATGAAGATAGACTTTCATCAGTTTTTACATTTTTATGCAGAAAGGTTACAAAGAAAGCTGTCGATAATAGAACATTTCCTGCACTAGGATACACGAAAGTGAAATTTTTTGTAATCAATACATAATCCAAGAACATCATCTCTTGTTTTGCTGAGCTCTTGAACTTCTTTAATACTGGCGTAAATTTTTTTCGCTCTTCTTTTGTGTATAGAATTATTTTTAATAGAATAGATACTCATAAAAGCCTTTTTGCCAACCAGTACTTTGGAATCGTCAACTTTTACATAAAACTTAAAGGAAGCTTGTTTAGGTTTTGTTTTCTGGGGATCAATTGTTCGTCGTTCGAGTTTGATTTACAAAACCCGGCACCAATGTTGACAGAGTGGTACAAGACCTTGTTGCCAATGACATAAATAATAAAACTACAACTAAATATCCACTACCACATATCGTTTGATGGGTGTTACAAGAGGTGACAGAGGGAAATGAAAGAGAAGATGGGAGAAGCATTTTCAAATATTCCCCCTGAGGTAATATATGGGTGAGGTCTAGATATTTTTAATAGGCTGTAATGAATAAAAGAGGAGATAATTTAGAGTAAAACTTATCGTGCCTATTGAAACTAACGTCAGTTTTTCACCCGTCAGTATTGCTGCACACTTGTTTCGTTCGGTTCGTAATCGGTCATCAATAGCATCGTAAGCACTCATCTATGATCATCACGCATCGTATTTTTTTTGTATTTATATCTAGTTATTTCACTTTTTTTTATAGAATAAGTGTGACAAACGACCACACAATCTACCTGATGGTGTGTATGCTGTGGGCGCATAGACATCATTTTTGATTAAGAATCAAAACGCAGATGTGTTTTCTCTCCTGTGAGAGCGTGGTCCTACCCTGGTCGAGCCGACCCATTCGTGCTACAACCATAATATAGCTATAGCGTGGCTCTACCACGTAAAAATATATGTTCATTAGGAAGAAGCAGAGTGGAGCGGGGACGTCACCATGATGTGCCTGCTGTTGAGCTGGTAGGGCGGCAGCGTGCGGTCGCGCTGCAGCGAGTGCAGGTAGGCCATGCTGCAGTATACAGTACACGGTACAGAGCAGAGTGGAGCGGGGACGTCACCATGATGTGCCTGCTGTTGAGCTGGTAGGGCGGCAGCGTGCGGTCGCGCTGCAGCGAGTGCAGGTAGGCCATGCTGCAGTATACAGTACACGGTACAGAGCAGAGTGGAGCGGGGACGTCACCATGATGTGCCTGCTGTTGAGCTGGTAGGGCGGCAGCGTGCGGTCGCGCTGCAGCGAGTGCAGGTAGGCCATGCTGCAGTATACAGTACACGGTACAGAGCAGAGTGGAGCGGGGACGTCACCATGATGTGCCTGCTGTTGAGCTGGTAGGGCGGCAGCGTGCGGTCGCGCTGCAGCGAGTGCAGGTAGGCCATGCTGCAGTATACAGTACACGGTACAGAGCAGAGTGGAGCGGGGACGTCACCATGATGTGCCTGCTGTTGAGCTGGTAGGGCGGCAGCGTGCGGTCGCGCTGCAGCGAGTGCAGGTAGGCCATGCTGCAGTATACAGTACACGGTACAGAGCAGAGTGGAGCGGGGACGTCACCATGATGTGCCTGCTGTTGAGCTGGTAGGGCGGCAGCGTGCGGTCGCGCTGCAGCGAGTGCAGGTAGGCCATGCTGCAGTATACAGTACACGGTACAGAGCAGAGTGGAGCGGGGACGTCACCATGATGTGCCTGCTGTTGAGCTGGTAGGGCGGCAGCGTGCGGTCGCGCTGCAGCGAGTGCAGGTAGGCCATGCTGCAGTATACAGTACACGGTACAGAGCAGAGTGGAGCGGGGACGTCACCATGATGTGCCTGCTGTTGAGCTGGTAGGGCGGCAGCGTGCGGTCGCGCTGCAGCGAGTGCAGGTAGGCCATGCTGCAGTATACAGTACACGGTACAGAGCAGAGTGGAGCGGGGACGTCACCATGATGTGCCTGCTGTTGAGCTGGTAGGGCGGCAGCGTGCGGTCGCGCTGCAGCGAGTGCAGGTAGGCCATGCTGCAGTATACAGTACACGGTACAGAGCAGAGTGGAGCGGGGACGTCACCATGATGTGCCTGCTGTTGAGCTGGTAGGGCGGCAGCGTGCGGTCGCGCTGCAGCGAGTGCAGGTAGGCCATGCTGCAGTATACAGTACACGGTACAGAGCAGAGTGGAGCGGGGACGTCACCATGATGTGCCTGCTGTTGAGCTGGTAGGGCGGCAGCGTGCGGTCGCGCTGCAGCGAGTGCAGGTAGGCCATGCTGCAGTATACAGTACACGGTACAGAGCAGAGTGGAGCGGGGACGTCACCATGATGTGCCTGCTGTTGAGCTGGTAGGGCGGCAGCGTGCGGTCGCGCTGCAGCGAGTGCAGGTAGGCCATGCTGCAGTATACAGTACACGGTACAGAGCAGAGTGGAGCGGGGACGTCACCATGATGTGCCTGCTGTTGAGCTGGTAGGGCGGCAGCGTGCGGTCGCGCTGCAGCGAGTGCAGGTAGGCCATGCTGCAGTATACAGTACACGGTACAGAGCAGAGTGGAGCGGGGACGTCACCATGATGTGCCTGCTGTTGAGCTGGTAGGGCGGCAGCGTGCGGTCGCGCTGCAGCGAGTGCAGGTAGGCCATGCTGCAGTATACAGTACACGGTACAGAGCAGAGTGGAGCGGGGACGTCACCATGATGTGCCTGCTGTTGAGCTGGTAGGGCGGCAGCGTGCGGTCGCGCTGCAGCGAGTGCAGGTAGGCCATGCTGCAGTATACAGTACACGGTACAGAGCAGAGTGGAGCGGGGACGTCACCATGATGTGCCTGCTGTTGAGCTGGTAGGGCGGCAGCGTGCGGTCGCGCTGCAGCGAGTGCAGGTAGGCCATGCTGCAGTATACAGTACACGGTACAGAGCAGAGTGGAGCGGGGACGTCACCATGATGTGCCTGCTGTTGAGCTGGTAGGGCGGCAGCGTGCGGTCGCGCTGCAGCGAGTGCAGGTAGGCCATGCTGCAGTATACAGTACACGGTACAGAGCAGAGTGGAGCGGGGACGTCACCATGATGTGCCTGCTGTTGAGCTGGTAGGGCGGCAGCGTGCGGTCGCGCTGCAGCGAGTGCAGGTAGGCCATGCTGCAGTATACAGTACACGGTACAGAGCAGAGTGGAGCGGGGACGTCACCATGATGTGCCTGCTGTTGAGCTGGTAGGGCGGCAGCGTGCGGTCGCGCTGCAGCGAGTGCAGGTAGGCCATGCTGCAGTATACAGTACACGGTACAGAGCAGAGTGGAGCGGGGATGTCACCATGATGTGCCTGCTGTTGAGCTGGTAGGGCGGCAGCGTGCGGTCGCGCTGCAGCGAGTGCAGGTAGGCCATGCTGCAGTATACAGTACACGGTACAGAGCAGAGTGGAGCGGGGACGTCACCATGATGTGCCTGCTGTTGAGCTGGTAGGGCGGCAGCGTGCGGTCGCGCTGCAGCGAGTGCAGGTAGGCCATGCTGCAGTATACAGTACACGGTACAGAGCAGAGTGGAGCGGGGACGTCACCATGATGTGCCTGCTGTTGAGCTGGTAGGGCGGCAGCGTGCGGTCGCGCTGCAGCGAGTGCAGGTAGGCCATGCTGCAGTATACAGTACACGGTACAGAGCAGAGTGGAGCGGGGACGTCACCATGATGTGCCTGCTGTTGAGCTGGTAGGGCGGCAGCGTGCGGTCGCGCTGCAGCGAGTGCAGGTAGGCAATGCTGCAGTATACAGTACACGGTACAGAGCAGAGTGGAGCGGGGACGTCACCATGATGTGCCTGCTGTTGAGCTGGTAGGGCGGCAGCGTGCGGTCGCGCTGCAGCGAGTGCAGGTAGGCCATGCTGCAGTATACAGTACACGGTACAGAGCAGAGGGGAGCGGGGACGTCACCATGATGTGCCTGCTGTTGAGCTGGTAGGGCGGCAGCGTGCGGTCGCGCTGCAGCGAGTGCAGGTAGGCCATGCTGCAGTATACAGTACACGGTACAGAGCAGAGTGGAGCGGGGACGTCACCATGATGTGCCTGCTGTTGAGCTGGTAGGGCGGCAGCGTGCGGTCGCGCTGCAGCGAGTGCAGGTAGGCCATGCTGCAGTATACAGTACACGGTACAGAGCAGAGTGGAGCGGGGACGTCACCATGATGTGCCTGCTGTTGAGCTGGTAGGGCGGCAGCGTGCGGTCGCGCTGCAGCGAGTGCAGGTAGGCCATGCTGCAGTATACAGTACACGGTACAGAGCAGAGTGGAGCGGGGACGTCACCATGATGTGCCTGCTGTTGAGCTGGTAGGGCGGCAGCGTGCGGTCGCGCTGCAGCGAGTGCAGGTAGGCCATGCTGCAGTATACAGTACACGGTACAGAGCAGAGTGGAGCGGGGACGTCACCATGATGTGCCTGCTGTTGAGCTGGTAGGGCGGCAGCGTGCGGTCGCGCTGCAGCGAGTGCAGGTAGGCCATGCTGCAGTATACAGTACACGGTACAGAGCAGAGTGGAGCGGGGACGTCACCATGATGTGCCTGCTGTTGAGCTGGTAGGGCGGCAGCGTGCGGTCGCGCTGCAGCGAGTGCAGGTAGGCCATGCTGCAGTATACAGTACACGGTACAGAGCAGAGTGGAGCGGGGACGTCACCATGATGTGCCTGCTGTTGAGCTGGTAGGGCGGCAGCGTGCGGTCGCGCTGCAGCGAGTGCAGGTAGGCCATGCTGCAGTATACAGTACACGGTACAGAGCAGAGTGGAGCGGGGACGTCACCATGATGTGCCTGCTGTTGAGCTGGTAGGGCGGCAGCGTGCGGTCGCGCTGCAGCGAGTGCAGGTAGGCCATGCTGCAGTATACAGTACACGGTACAGAGCAGAGTGGAGCGCGGACGTCACCATGATGTGCCTGCTGTTGAGCTGGTAGGGCGGCAGCGTGCGGTCGCGCTGCAGCGAGTGCAGGTAGGCCATGCTGCAGTATACAGTACACGGTACAGAGCAGAGTGGAGCGGGGACGTCACCATGATGTGCCTGCTGTTGAGCTGGTAGGGCGGCAGCGTGCGGTCGCGCTGCAGCGAGTGCAGGTAGGCCATGCTGCAGTATACAGTACACGGTACAGAGCAGAGTGGAGCGGGGACGTCACCATGATGTGCCTGCTGTTGAGCTGGTAGGGCGGCAGCGTGCGGTCGCGCTGCAGCGAGTGCAGGTAGGCCATGCTGCAGTATACAGTACACGGTACAGAGCAGAGTGGAGCGGGGACGTCACCATGATGTGCCTGCTGTTGAGCTGGTAGGGCGGCAGCGTGCGGTCGCGCTGCAGCGAGTGCAGGTAGGCCATGCTGCAGTATACAGTACACGGTACAGAGCAGAGTGGAGCGGGGACGTCACCATGATGTGCCTGCTGTTGAGCTGGTAGGGCGGCAGCGTGCGGTCGCGCTGCAGCGAGTGCAGGTAGGCCATGCTGCAGTATACAGTACACGGTACAGAGCAGAGTGGAGCGGGGACGTCACCATGATGTGCCTGCTGTTGAGCTGGTAGGGCGGCAGCGTGCGGTCGCGCTGCAGCGAGTGCAGGTAGGCCATGCTGCAGTATACAGTACACGGTACAGAGCAGAGTGGAGCGGGGACGTCACCATGATGTGCCTGCTGTTGAGCTGGTAGGGCGGCAGCGTGCGGTCGCGCTGCAGCGAGTGCAGGTAGGCCATGCTGCAGTATACAGTACACGGTACAGAGCAGAGTGGAGCGGGGACGTCACCATGATGTGCCTGCTGTTGAGCTGGTAGGGCGGCAGCGTGCGGTCGCGCTGCAGCGAGTGCAGGTAGGCCATGCTGCAGTATACAGTACACGGTACAGAGCAGAGTGGAGCGGGGACGTCACCATGATGTGCCTGCTGTTGAGCTGATAGGGCGGCAGCGTGCGGTCGCGCTGCAGCGAGTGCAGGTAGGCCATGCTGCAGTATACAGTACACGGTACAGAGCAGAGTGGAGCGGGGACGTCACCATGATGTGCCTGCTGTTGAGCTGGTAGGGCGGCAGCGTGCGGTCGCGCTGCAGCGAGTGCAGGTAGGCCATGCTGCAGTATACAGTACACGGTACAGAGCAGAGTGGAGCGGGGACGTCACCATGATGTGCCTGCTGTTGAGCTGATAGGGCGGCAGCGTGCGGTCGCGCTGCAGCGAGTGCAGGTAGGCCATGCTGCAGTATACAGTACACGGTACAGAGCAGAGTGGAGCGGGGACGTCACCATGATGTGCCTGCTGTTGAGCTGATAGGGCGGCAGCGTGCGGTCGCGCTGCAGCGAGTGCAGGTAGGCCATGCTGCAGTATACAGTACACGGTACAGAGCAGAGTGGAGCGGGGACGTCACCATGATGTGCCTGCTGTTGAGCTGATAGGGCGGCAGCGTGCGGTCGCGCTGCAGCGAGTGCAGGTAGGCCATGCTGCAGTATACAGTACACGGTACAGAGCAGAGTGGAGCGGGGACGTCACCATGATGTGCCTGCTGTTGAGCTGATAGGGCGGCAGCGTGCGGTCGCGCTGCAGCGAGTGCAGGTAGGCCATGCTGCAGTATACAGTACACGGTACAGAGCAGAGTGGAGCGGGGACGTCACCATGATGTGCCTGCTGTTGAGCTGATAGGGCGGCAGCGTGCGGTCGCGCTGCAGCGAGTGCAGGTAGGCCATGCTGCAGTATACAGTACACGGTACAGAGCAGAGTGGAGCGGGGACGTCACCATGATGTGCCTGCTGTTGAGCTGATAGGGCGGCAGCGTGCGGTCGCGCTGCAGCGAGTGCAGGTAGGCCATGCTGCAGTATACAGTACACGGTACAGAGCAGAGTGGAGCGGGGACGTCACCATGATGTGCCTGCTGTTGAGCTGATAGGGCGGCAGCGTGCGGTCGCGCTGCAGCGAGTGCAGGTAGGCCATGCTGCAGTATACAGTACACGGTACAGAGCAGAGTGGAGCGGGGACGTCACCATGATGTGCCTGCTGTTGAGCTGATAGGGCGGCAGCGTGCGGTCGCGCTGCAGCGAGTGCAGGTAGGCCATGCCGGCCGCCACGTCGCGCGCCAGGCGCAGCGCCGCGCCCGCGTCCAGCACCACGCGCCCGCCCGCGCCCGCGCCCGCGCCGCCGCCGTGCAGCAGCGCGTGCAGCGAGCCCCACGACATGTACTGCGAGATCACCACCAGCGACGGCGGCGACACGCAGCAGCCCACCTGCGCAACGACCATCCTCATAATTATTATCATCAACATTACATCCCTTCACGTGTCCACTGCTGAACATAAGCTTCATCAAGTAATGCCACAAAGCACGATCCTGAGCCACCTGCATCCATCGACTTCCTGCATGTCTTACCAGGCGGTCACTCCATCTATTGGGGGGCCTATTGCCACTTTAGCTTACTGCGTAGTAGTATGTACGTAACCTCAATACTTCAAAACAAGTATCATATTATTTATACATTGTATATCTCACGCAGATAACGAATGGGATTATAAATGGTGTTGCCTCTCGCTTGCACACTATCTCTATCTATACTTATTACTTAAACAAGCCAGTAACGACAAGAATAAAATAATATATGGACGTGTGGTGGCGCTGTTGTCGCTCCACAAGCGAAACACAACGAAACCTAACTCGCGCTATCAAAATTCCGAAGTTAAATCAGTATATATAGAATAGCTCCGAACTACCACTTGGGAACGTTGGCCACTCCCCGGGCTAAATACCTTGTCCGACGGAAGATCTCCCCTTCTCTTACCACGACCACAAACGTATAACGATAACAAAAATAAACGTTTTTGCCTTTTATTGCTTTTAATAACTTGCGAATTAAGTAACAAAACGTAATGCAATTGATTTAATGTCGTTTAATGCCTGTATAATGGCGGGTAAGAATATCCACTACCCCATATCTTCCCGTGGGTGTCGTAAATAGCCACAGAGCAAAATTGAGGCAGAATATGGGATTCCTGATAACAACAAATAACAATAAAAAAACTGCGGTTGCCAACCCGCTGGTCAAGCGTGGCAACTATGGCAATAAGCCTACCATGACAAGAGTTACAAAGAAACGGCCACCAGTCCCTGGTCACGGTGGCGACCATAGTAACAGCAAGGTAGCGGGTGCTAAGAATCTCCGGTGGAGGTTCGGTTGCCACCTAAGACAACTTGACCTGGCAACATATAACGTACCCATCCTTTATGATGAAATCTTTCTTCCAAAAGAAGCCACACAGACAATGGACCTGGTCGAGCCCCGACAGTGCGACAAAAATGATATTGACTTCATTACGATTGACGACAACTTCAGCGATTTCTCAGTGTTCACGAGGGTGAAAACTGGCAGCGATCAGCAAATGATAAGAGGCACATTGAACGTAAATGTTAAATTAGACAGATCACGTCTAATGGAATCAACGCTTCGTCCCACTCGTGCTTTAATCCAAAGCCCCGAAAACTTTCAGCTCGAAATACAAAATCGTTTTCAGTGCCTAGAAGACTGCAATGCTTTACAAGCTCGTGGAAACTGTCCATGCGGTCAGAGCTAAGTTCTGTAAGAACCGTCGCAGAAGAACAAAAAGCTCTCCAATCACACTCTTAATCTCATGGCTCTTAGACGGGTGGACGGGAATGAAGCTACAGTCTTCAGCAGATTTTACACCATATACAGGCAACTGACAGATCTAGAAATGCATGCGGTGGGACTTCGCGATCGAGCGGAACCAGGGCTCCAAAGTTTTTGCCAGAGATCTGTCTGCTAGAAAGAGCCAACTGTGGAAGCTGAAGATCGAATGTGGCAGCATCGTTTCCGGGACACCTGAGATTTTGAGTAAGATTGAGAGGATCTATGGGCAGTTATACACGTCTTTGTTGGAGCCACACGCAATTGTGAGTAACGAATAACGATCCAAGAGCAAGTCTTATCCGACTCTATTCCGATGATATCCCGGATGTCAGTCTGAGCGAGATTAGAATAGTTCGCTAGCACCTTAACGGCAAGTCCTCGGGCGAATGGAATTACAGCGGAGCTTCTGAAAGCGGGTGGAAATCCGGTACTTTAAAGTCCTTCAGAAGCTCCTTAATTCTGTCCTCCATGGTGGCATTACTCCGGAGGCGTGGAACAGAAGTGCGAAGGTCTTATTCTTCAAGAAAAGCGACAAAGTTCTCTTGAAGAACTACAGACCGATTTCCCTTCTGAGCCGCGTGTACGTGTTATTTTCGAGAGTTATCACGAATTGTCTCACATGCAGACTCGACGGCTTCTAGGCTCCTGAACAAGCCGGTTTCCGAAAAGGCTTTAGCACCATAGACCACAAATCGGCAAATTGTACAGAAGTCCGAGGAGTACAATTTGCCACTATGTCTGGCGTATGTATACTATGAGAAAGCCTTTGATTCCGTCGAAATTTGGGCGGTGCTGCAGTCCCTTCAGTGGTGTCAAGTTGACTGTCCGGTATATCGAAGAGCTGAAGGTAGGGCTACGATGGCTATACGAGTACAAAACGGAAAGGTGTACAGGGTGACGTAATATCCCCGAAACTCAGTATACCGTATTAACGTTAATGGCGAGTACATCACCCACTTTCAATTTGCCGACGATATAATCTTTATGATGGAATCTCAATAGAACCTAAGCACCATACTCAATGCCCTCAATAGTATCTCGCAACGGATACATGGACAAAACAAAAGTCCTGTGTAACGTCCATGTCACACATATTGTTGGCAGCACTAAGCTCGAAGATAACGAGTATGTTTACCTGGGACAAATAGTCCGACTGGGCAAGTCCAACTTCGACCGAGGTCAATCAACGTATTCAACTCGGCTGGACAGCGTTCGGAAGATTATGATCGCTAAGCATACCTCAAAACCTCAAAAGAATATTGTACAACCAGTGCGTATTGCCCGTGATGATCTATGAATCTGAGACTTAGTCCTTCACTGCTGGTCGTATGAGGAAGCTCAAGGTCGCTCAACGAGTTAGAGGGCTATGCTCGGAGTTTCTCTGCGTGATTGGCTTAAAAACAAGGATAGCCGTAGTAGAACCAGAGTACCCGACATAGCCCAACGGATTAGTAAGCTGAAGTAGCAATGGGTCGGTCAATTTCCAATAAACCGACATAATGTTATAACTAATATAATATCGTCATTTGTTATTACAATACGTTATATTTAACGTTATTAGCGTTGTATTCATTTTTGGACTGTGTATGTTATGTTGGACAGTACAAGCTCGATGAGCCACCATTTCTGTCACATTCTTTATCAGCACGGGTAGTAGCTGCACGAATCTTGAGCATAGTCTTGTCACGTGCAAAAGTCTATTTATAAGCAAAGACTTCTAATGACCGGTAAATTTGATGTGGTAGAGCCATGCTGCAGCTATATTACTGGTATAGTTGTAGCACGAATGGGTCGGCTCGGCCGGGGAAAGACCACGCTCTCACAGAATACCAGCGTAAAATAGCAGCTTAAGCCGGAGAACCTTTTTACTGGAAAAGAGGCATTCCATCTTAGTCCTCACGGGTGACAACGCATCTGCATTTTGATTCGTAATCGAGGATAGATGCAGATGTCTATGGGCCACAGCAACCACTTACCATCAGGTGGACTGTGTGATCGATTGTCACCCTTGTCCTATAAAAAAAAATTCAGAACTGTATCACAGCTGTAAATCGTGCGAGCGCCGGCTGGACGGGTAGCTGGCACAGTAAATATACGTATTACATGTGGTAGATCCAGAATGCAGCTTTATTATGGTTATAGCATGAATGGATCCGTTTGGCCGTAGCAGGATCACGCTCTCACAGAGTACCCGCGTAAAATATCAACGTAATGTTACTGTGTTTCATACGGTGAGTGTAGAGAACCGGAGATCCTTTTTACTGGAAATGAGACATTCCATCTTAGTTCTCAGGGGTTACAACGCATCTGCATTTTGATTCATAATTGAGGAAAAATGTAAATGTCTAAAGGCCACAATGTCCACTTGCTATCAGGTGGACTGTGTGATTGTTCGTCACCCTTATTCTATAAAAATAAAATGTTTACTACTAGACCGGCAATTCAGAAGTGTGTCACAGTTGTGGACCGCACGGGCGCCGGTTGGTCAGATAACTGGCACGGTAAATATGCCACGCAGTTATATTTTCGTTTATGACAACTGTCTTTTTAAGCAAAAACGAAATAAAGTTACATACTGCGCACCTTAATAATGACAGCGTTTCCTTAGCCACAAACAAAATCAGTGTGTTAGATTGTCGCAAAACGATGGTCGCGATTTACTAAATAAAGAACCAATCTTTTCCCTCGCTCGCAATCGACTAAATAAGTTACAAAGAATTGACCGTAACTTAGTGCGCAATGTATTAGTACAATAGTGCCTGTCTAGCATACATAGAAGAGACGTCGCCTGTATTCACCTCAGTGTGCGACATTCGAGTGCTCATACTCCCGTATGAGTATGGCACCCGAATGAGAGAATAATCACACCCGCCGGTAAAGACTGCAAAAAAACTACGTTGTGATATGGGTTTTTCGTACGTTCTATAACTTCAGTGATTCCAATGATAAGTTCGACTTGGATTTTTCTTGTTATTTTTACTATTTATCTCGTTTTATTTGTTATCTACCAACTTCAAAAAGGAGGAGGTGCTCAATTCGACTGTATGTTCTTTTTTTTAGCGTGTTAGCTCATAACTTTTTTCTGAGTGAACCGATTGCTATGATTCTTTTTTTTTATTTGAAAGCTGGTGCTTCTCGTGTGGTCCCATATAAATTTGATCAAGGTCTGAACAATAGTTTTTGAGTTATTCTTAATAATTTATATTGAAGTGGGTTATACAAAATTTTTAATTTTAATTTATTGTTGTTAAATTTTGTTGTTGTTTGTTATTATTATTATATCTGTGTTTAAGTGAGTAAAAAAAAATTAATAGCCGTGCTCGTGAAATTATAATTAAAGTTAAAACAATCGAAAATGTTCAATTCGAAAACGTTTGAAAACCTTACATTACGCCTTGTCATTAATCTATGTTGAAAGATTAAAACACCGTTTTATCTTTGAACAACGTAAATTAAAGACAAGGCGTGTAATTGAGAAATAATTGATAATTGAGAAATGGGCGCACGGGGCCGGCTGACACACGGGCTTGGCACGCGCTGTCAACCCGCTGCGAGGTGTCATGACACTTGAGGGGTTAACTTTCGTTAATCGTTTCACCATTTTGTTTCCTAAATAACCTTAGCTTTTCTTTCGTGATTTTATACTGATCTTGCTTTTATATATTTAAAAGTAATTAAAGTGAAAAATAACATGTTACAGTGTAATTATAATGAGAAATCACCTATTACAGGGTGGGTAATACATAACATCACTTTTACTTATTATACAATAACGCAGCTCCTAGATTGACAAATCTTGCCAGACTTTTCAGCTATGAATTGTTTATATATAAGCTTTCAAATGGTCTGACTGTCATCTTGTTAACATCTGGGCCCAAGAATATATGGAGACGTCTCTTTCTCCTTTCTAATTAACCGAATAACGTAACGTTATAACGATATACCGTTATAAGCGGGTTTTCGCTATTGATACTGTGCAATGTTGACGATACGGCCTCGGTGAGCCGCCATTTCTAATCCCATTCTTTATCCGTACGGACTGTATAAGGCCGTGACATTCTTTTACGTGATTGGTCCGTTAGTAATCGTATATATATATATATATATATATATATATATATATATATATATACAACGTGTCCCAAAATTCAACGATAAGCCAACACCGGAGGATAGACCTGCCCCGGACTAATCGGGTAAAAAAAGAAAAAAAAATATATCCCAATTATATTTTAAGTTATATAAAAAAAATTAAATTCTTCAGAAATTGAGACCGTTTATGATATTTTTCACTACCATGACCACAATTTTTTAAATATTTTTTTCTTTTTTTTTTATAGGCAACCTGAATAGTACTGCTATCTACCACAATTCTTAAAAACTCCAGAATAACTCTTGTTTTATCACGAAAATTAATGAAACTTATTTTATTCCCTAAATTTTTTGAAGACTTTTACTTTTAACCAAATTTAACTTATCGTGGTGTAAAAAAAAAGTATGAACACTAGTATGGCAAGTTTTTTTAAAAATTGACGCAACTAACCAATATTCCAAAATGGTATAATACTCTAGGAAAACAAGTTATAAAAAAATATGGGCCTATTATTTCTTAACAGGGGCCAAATGACGGTCGGGTGTAATAAAAGTATTATTTCTTGAAAAATGTTTAATATTTCAAAACAAATGGTACAAACAGTTTCACGTGTAATTTATTAAGTTATTAACATTATAGCAAATGTTCGAACTGTTTGCCACCAGCATTAATACATGCACGACATCGCCTTAAAAATGATCGTTTTATTTGTCTTGCATATCTTCTGCTATTAATGTAATCAGCAGCCTGAGTGATATTTCGACGAAGCTCGTCCAATGTCACAATGGGTTTTGAGTAGACCCTGTTTTTAAGACAACCCCAATAGAAGAAGTCCAGGGGGTTCAAATCGGGTGAACGGGGTGGCCATAAGATAGGACCAAGTCGCCCGATCCAACGCCCTGGATACTCTTGATTTAAATATTCTCGCACAGGACGGGCATAATGTGCTGGGCAACCATCATTTTGGAACCACATGTTTTGAAGATCACTTAAGGGCACGTCGTTTAACAATTCTTGCAAGTCATTTTGTAAAAAGTTTAAATAACTATTGCCATCTAAGTTTCCTTGTAACTCAATGGGCCCAATTACTTTTCCATTTAATATGCCGGTCCATAGGTTAACCTTGAATTGATATTGGGATTTGTCTTGTCTCATCAAGTGTGGATTTTTATTACTCCAACTATGTAGATTGTGAAGATTTAAATACCCATCTTTCTTGCACGTTGTTTCATCCGACCATAGAATTTTGTCTAGGAAGTGGGGATCTTCACTGTGCCTTTGCAGCATTACACGGCAAAATGTGACCCGTAGCGGATAGTCCCGCGGTAATAACGTCTGCACACGCCTGTAGTGATATGGGTGAAGCTTGTGACGTTTTAATATTCGATGTGCAGAACTTTTCGGGATTCCTGTAGCTTCTTCTATGGCACGTACCGAAGTAGTCGAGTCATTTTCTATCTCCTTGAAAACTTCTTCATCACGATCCAATCAACCACCAAAAGTCGATAGTATGTACGAGGGCCACGTAAGTTGAATTGGGTACGGTGCGCAGTAAACAAAGGAGCAGAGCGTACTGAACCGACTTGCTGAGAATAATAACAGCTTCTCTACCTGCCCTGTTGTTGTCTCTTTTTAACGTAAATATCTCTATCTATCTATCTCTCTCTAACATCTAAGGTATTAATGCCCCATTCGAATTCCTAGAAATTGTAACAGGAACCCATTTTGGGCATGTAGTAAAAGTGATTACTGACAATTACAATTTAAGGAATTTGGCCCCTGTTAAGAAATAATAGGCCCATATTTTTTTATAACTTGTTTTCCTAGAGTATTATACCATTTTGGAATATTGGTTAGTTGCGTCAATTTTTAAAAAAACTTGCCGTACTAGTGTTCATACTTTTTTTTACACCACGATAAGTTAAATTTGGTTAAAAGTAAAAGTCTTCAAAAAATTTAGGGAATAAAATAAGTTTCATTAATTTTCGTGATAAAACAAGAGTTATTCTGGAGTTTTTAAGAATTGTGGTAGATAGCAGTACTATTCAGGTTGCCTATAAAAAAAAAAGAAAAAAATATTTAAAAAATTGTGGTCATGGTAGTGAAAAATATCATAAACGGTCTCAATTTCTGAAGAATTTCATTTTTTTATATAACTTAAAATATAATTGGGATATATTTTTTTTTCTTTTTTTACCCGATTAGTCCGGGGCAGGTCTATCCTCCGGTGTTGGCTTATCGTTGAATTTTGGGACACGTTGTATATATATATATATATATATATATATATATAGTTTTGACTGGAAAATGTACAAGCGCAAATACTATTACTTAGAGCTAACGGCTCGCGCCGCTATGAAGATTGAAACACGCGTGGTTTTTTATATGAGTAGAATAAGGGTGACAACGAGCACAAAGTCCACTTAATGTTAATCCTCAATTAAAAATCAAACTACAGAAGTGTTGTCACCCGTAAGAACTAATATGGAATGCTTTACATCTACTAAAAAATGGCATCGGTTCTCTAGACTCACCATACGCAGCAGCATTAAGCTACTGTTTTACGCTGATATTCTGCGAGAGCGTGGTCCTTCCCTAGTTGCGCCGACCCATTCCAGCCATAATATAGTAGCTACAGCATGGCTCAGTTAACGATGTAACCTCGTTTACACCAGTACCGGATAGTCTATAGTGGGAAATGTCGGGAATCTGATCATTTATTTACCTGCCAAGCGTGACGACTACGCCAAGTCCTCCCTACATCGAAAGAGACCCATGTCTGGCAATGAACTTTTACAGACTGAGGAAGTGAAGAAGGCTCGCTCGATTATCAGTCAAGCACATCAGTGTTCTTCTGATTAATTTTACCATTAACATTATAGCCTATTAAAGTCCACTGCTGGACATAGATTGCCTCATATGGGGATATTTGCAATAGTTTCCAATCTTGGCAACAACCTGGCAACTGCAGTTTTATTTTTATTTTTAATCGTTATTAGAAAGACGCTGCTGTCCATCTCCTGATTTGTTTTCCTCTGTCGACTCTTACGGCACCCACAGAATGATATGGGATAGTAGATATCCTTACACCGCTACTATACGGTCGCAGTGTTCTTCTGATTTATGATGAACAATCCTATCTTTATTTTATAGCCGATTTTATTCAACTGTCAGATAACAGTTAACCATCAAATAAATTATTATAACTTGACTGAGTATAAAAGTGAAACACAGTGGTAGAGCCACGCGGCAGCTTTTGCTGTCGCACGGATGGGCCGGCTCGAACCGGGGTGGTACCACGACCTCACAGAATACCAGCGTGAAGTAGAGGTTTACCTCTGCGTTTCGCTTGGTGAGTGCAGGTGGCCGGAGGCCCTTTTTACTGGAAATGAGGCATTCCATCTTAGTCCTCACGGGTGGCAACGCATCTGCATTTTGATTCGCAAACGAGGATAGATGTAGATGTCTATGGGCCGCAGCAACCACTTACCATCAGGTGGACTGTGTGCTCGTTTGTCACCCTTATCCTATAAAAAAAAAAAAAAAAACAATCGAAATTTTTTATTCATACAACTGTAATTTTCAATTCGTTTATGTTGTATTTTATCGATGGATATATCTTAACTAAGGATTGAAAAATGGCTCTTAATAAAACAGACAGTTAAGTTCTAAGATCTACTCTGTCGGAAATCTTTCATTCTCACTTTCATCTATTATTCGTTGGTTGCAGTACAGGCGATCTCAAAGTTACTGTTCATAAACAATCATTGAAAAACAGACAAAACACTTACCACAGGCAAGATATTGGGATGTGAGAATATACGCAGCTTTGGGAATTCTTCGTTAAAGTCTCGCTGGATACGAGGAGTACACTCACGTACCGCTATTATTTTAGCAACAATGTCGTTCTTCTGCCAACGACCTCGCCATGTTTCACCTGTAATAATAAAAGAAATTGATGATTTTAAGTAACCACGCTCTCATAATATATCTACGTAATGTTGATGTGTTTCGTATGGCAAATTTAAAGAACAAAAAACCCGTTTAACTGATGATAACATATGTGTATTTTGATATAAATGTCTATGGACCACAGGATCCATTTACCACTAGGAGGATTGTGGGCTTATCTTATCTCCATATCTATGTGAGTGTACGTGCGTGCGTGTGTGTGTGCATGCGTCCGTTGAGCTCGTCGGTCACCTTTAGGGACCATTGAGACATGATCACTGAGCGTCGGCACGCATGCTTTGTAAACACAGACTAACAAGGAAAGATGGACAGAACTAAAGCCATGTTTTGGGTTGTAAATTATTTTAAGTGCATATATGTGTGTTTGTTTTCTCACAATAAATAGAGCATGTTTTCGGCGACATCTTTCTTTGTTGGTCTGAAATAGTAAAGGAAATTTATTTGTATCATGCAAAGACATTCAAATATGTATGGAAGCGATCAAAATCGTAATCTACTACTTGTTACTTAGTAGACTTAGTAACAACATGCTCACCTCTCAGTCTAGTTTGATTTTCTAGCATCACAGATTGCATTCGTGTGGCATAATTTTGGATATAAGTAAAATATTTTCGAATAACATACTTAAGCTGAATTGCGCAATGCAGTATTGCAAATCTCGTTATGATAAAACGGGTTGACTTTAATTTATTTTGGTAAGTGTTTTTTTTTTTATGTTTTGCCGTGTAGTGTCGGTTAAGAATATCCACTACCCCATATCTTCCCGTGGGTGTCGTAAAAGGCGACAAAGGGAAACAGGCAGAAGATGGGCAGCAGCGTCTTCCTGATAACAGCAAAATTACAATAAAAAACTGAGGTTGCCAACCCGCTCGCCAAACGTGGCAACTATGGCAAATACCCCCCAATGATGAGAGCAACAAAGACAACAGCCCCCAGTCCCCGGCGGCCTATTATTATTCCTGGCTACGGTGGCGACCATGGTAACGGCGGGGCAGGGGGTGCTAAGAATCTCCGGTGGAGGTTCGGGTACCACCTATGACGACTTGACCTGGCAACATACAACGCACGCATCAGAGTGCGTGACGAGAAGATCGTGGAGCTAGAAGAAGAGATAGACAAGTTACGCTGGCATATTATAGGATTATCCGAGGTCCGAAGAGAGGGGGAGAACAAGGTAATCCTCGAATCCGGCAACTTCTTCTATCACCGAGAGGGCGACCATCTGTCCCAAAGAGGTGTCGGATACAGGTTTACGCACCAACCTCGGCACATCCCGATGAGGAGGTGGAGGAAATGTATGAGGATATCTCTAGAGCCAAAACCCACTATACGGTGTTAATGGGAGACTTCAATGCAAAACTAGGTACAAGAGAGAACGGTGAGCTGAAAGTAGGGAAATTTGGAATAGGGCAACGGAACCCAAGGGGCCAGCAGCTGGCCGACTTCATGGAGAAAGAGGGACTCTTTACCACTGTGTCACTACTATGTTATCGATAATATTCCTATGTGGTACGTACATAATGATGAAAATTATATTCAAATGAATGTATGTAGTACTTATAGAAAAAAGCTATATTGTTTTTGGAATTATAGGTTTCTGTCAGTAAAGAATGTATTATGTAAAAGCAATTATCTTCTCTTCTAAAATGCTCAAAGCATCATCTAGAGAGCCATCTAGTGTTTATCTATGATTTGGCTCCTTCTGTGATATGTTCAGAACAATTTATATTCTTGAACTTATTTGATTCTTTTTCATTACTTTTGCACTCGGGGATTTTGTTTTCCGTAAAAAGTTTAATTTTAGTACCTAACCTTCTATATTATCGACACCATGACATCTAAATGGTAGCAACCCTACCATTAATTAGCGCGACTTGTCGTGCTTTAGCTGAAATGTGTTCTAATTATGTTAATATGTATTTTGATCCATTTAAAGCTAGATAGCGTTACAGATACTTGCATAAAAATGTTACTAATGGCCACCTATAAACTTTAATCTTTTTTTTTTTATTAACAATTCCTAAAATTCATGGTGCTAAGACTATTTTAAAAGTAAAATAATAACAAATACTATGTTGTTTTTATGCTAATTATAGGCAGACATTGTGGTCCAGTGGTTAGTGCTTGTCAGTTACTGTTACGGCTCTCAGTTGCCCAGACAGAAGTCGACTGTATTAGGGCCCATCAGTAATACACTCGACGAGCAACCAGAGAGTTCGGGCCCAATGGCCTAAGGACTAATGGACTATTGGACTATTATCAACTAATGGCTGACAAGCAACAAAAACTTACAGAGTTCCGGAGGTAGGGTTGACCACAGGGTATCAGTCAGGTGGTAAGTAAGGTGTATGTAAGTAGTGTGCGAAGGTGTGTATAGATGTAACCTGACGTCACCGATGTAATCGGACAGCAGATCCACAGGCGCTGCTTTTCTCCAAAATGTGCGATTCCTCCAGTGGGCGTTCACCAATTGAAACCTTCTGCTTTTATTTCACTATATTAGTTTCTCAACTTTATTGTACATTTAATTAACTTCAAATTCAACCAAATCAAAGTTAATCGAAATTAAAACAAGTGACACGCTGCACAACTTAAGAACGATCGGTCAAACTTCAATGTCCCAGGTTCACTTAGCACTAAATTATCATCGAGCACAAACGCGATCTCCTCTCGAGTCACAAAGTTTTAGCGTTCCACAAAGCAAAAATTCCTTCGTACGATATTAAAATGACACACAAACAACTCGTCGATGCAAATTAATGGCAATAGAAGTTAATTTAATCACTCAAAAACTCCCGAGAAGCCTCATTGTCACGTAAAACGAACGAAAAGACAACTCAATTAGAGGCAGTCGTCACGCGACCAAACTATACGAGAGTAACTCCCAGACCGTCTTATCGACTCGGCGTACGCGCACAATTAACGACACCGGCCGCGCCCAACCAACTGACCTCGCCCACGCGTCAGGCTACCGAGCGCTCGGCCGAGAGACCCGCACGGAAGAGGGGGCCGACGGTGACCTTTAAATTCCATCGGAAGGACACGCCGATGCGCGACTTGAATGCAAGTTTTAAAATGTTAATTTTTGGCCTAAACAGTTACTATATAGGGGATCCTGGATTTGAATCCCATTTGGTGCCAACATTAGTGCAAAAACAAAATTTAGCTAAACAGAACTAGCTAAATAAGAGTATCAGGGATAGCTTTTTATGTGATTGCTGTCTGGAGAAAGGAACTCTGGAATGCTTATTTTTTTGTTGTTCTAAACTTTCCTGTACATCATTAGTCATTAGTTTATATTCCCCTTATTAAGATATTGACAGATTTTATACATATTAATAAAATTAAACTATAATTATTAGTTAGTGTGCACTAATTTATTAAATATGGTTGTGGATTGGTAACTAAATTCTAGAATCATAATTTAAACTTAGTGTCACTTCCATGTCTGACTTGACATTGGCTTAGTTCATTGCTACAAGATTGCTAAAAGAAGCAGAAGAAAGCTATTTATCAACTTAATTATTGCCATAAGATGGCCTTTGATACGAGGGCTGCACTAAAAGTATCGGGAATAGAATATTTCCACTGTTCTTGTTATATTAAAATCTTTTTAATTAAAAAGTCCTTGGTTTTAAAAATCGAATACCATTTATTTATTTAAAAAAAGATTCTCGGTCTTGCCACAAGGTTTTATCAAACTTGTTTAGTCGTTGAGAAAATGGAATTGACTCGAGAAAATTCAAGAGCGATGATTTATTATGACTTTCGAAGTGGTTTAACACAAAAACAGTGTGTTGACCGGGTGATTTCTGCATTTGGTGATGAAGCCCCATCCAAAACCACAATTTATCGCTGGTTTGCTGAATTTCAACGTGGACGTGTCAAGCTCAGTGACGATCCCCGTCAAGGTCGTCCAAAAACTGCAGTCACCCAAGAAAACGTTGATGCTGTGCGTAAGCTGATTGAGGGATCGACATGTGACATACCGCGAAATTCAGGCAACTTTAGACGTTGGCATGAGTCAAATACAAATAATCTTGCATGAACAATTAGGTGTAAAAAAGTTGTTTTCCCGATGGATACCGCATTCGCTCTGTGAAGAGCAAAAAGCGGCTCGCGTTACTTGGTGCGTCAGAACTCTCGAAAGATTCCACGCAGGATCCTCAAATGCTGTATACAACATCGTATCAGGTGACGAATCCTGGATATACGCGTACGAACCCGAAACAAAAAACCAGTCACGAGTTAGGCTGTTCGAAAATGAGTTAAAGTCAACAAAAATTGTTCGTTCACGGAGTGTTGCAAAAAAAATGGTGGGCACGTTTGTCTCCAAAACCGGCCATGTTACGATTATTCCTCTTGAGGGACAAAGAACGGTTAATGCAGAATGGTATGCTAGCATTTGTTTGCCACAGGTCGTTTCTGAACTCCGTAAAGAGAACTGCAACCGCCGCATCATCCTCCATCACGACAATGCGAGTTCTCACACCACACACAGAACAAAAGAGTTTTTAGAGCAAAAAAACAGAATTATTAGACCATCCGCCGTACAGCCCCGACCTAAGCCCTGATGATTTCTATACTTTCCCTAAAATAAACTATAAATTGCGTGGACAGAGATTTTCATCACATGAAAAAGCTGTGGACTCCTACAAAACGGCCATTTTGGAGACCCCAACTTCCGAATGGAATGGTTGCTTCAATGATTGGTTCCATCGTATGGAAAAATGTGTCAAATTTCGCGGAGAATACTTCGAAAAACAATAAATACATTTTTAAATAGTAATGTTGTGTCACTTCCTTGATTCCCGAAATTTTGAGTGCCGCCCTCGTATTATTTACATTTTATATAATGTAATTGACTGACAAATTTTTTATTTGTATATTAACAGTGTAGAGATGATTTTTATTCTTACCTGAAGGAGTGACAGCAATACGGGTATGTAGTGCTAATTCGTTGATATTGATACCCTTATGGCGCGATAATGTCGCATCGCGGCTTCTGGTCTTCAGACCCAGCCAGGACTGGTCTTTGAACTGGATCTTCTTGAGATCTTGACCCTGCTGAATAGCGAGTTCGTGCAATCTGTAACAACAATTAGCAAGTAATGGCCAATTAAGTTAACTTCTCACAGTTGGGCACAGACTCTTAGATGGCTTTGACAAGGAATTTACTCAATCGAAGAGCTTATTTATCAGTAAATGGTTTAAATGCTGACAATCGCTAAAATGACAGCAAAACTAATAAATATAATTAGGTATTATAAAATTATAATATTCATATGTGAATATTGAAAATTATGGTATGCTATTTTAGCATTTACTTTTTATTTATTATTTTTCATTTATTTTACTATTTACTGTTAGAGGTAGGGAATGAAACTTACATAATTTAAAAGTTACTGTGCAATAGGAGTACAGAATAATGTGTGTATGTTGTTGTCAAGGCAGGTAAAAGTGGCATGCACATACTACATACATGACTTTTCATACAAATATAAATATATTATAATTACAAATTTCCATACAAAATGTAAAATCAAGTTATGAAAAATGAGGACGTAATGTTACGATAAAAATATGTGAAGGTCCTAAAAAAGAACAGAAATACATCAATGTCAGTACGGCGCCAGAATGTATGACGCGTTAACTCATTTATATATATATTTATTTATTTTTTAATTACATAGGTTGCTTCTTTTTTTTATAGGGGGTAAACGAGCATGCGGCTCACCTAATGGTAAGTTTCTACCGCCGCCCATAAACAACCGCAACACCAGGGGAATTGCAGATGCATTGCCGGCTTTTTAAAAAGAAGTAGGCGCTTTTCTTGAAGGTCCCTAAATCGTATCGGTCTGGAAAAATAGCTGGTGGTAATTGATTCCACAAGGAAGTTGTGCGAGGAAGAAAACATCTTCTAAATCGCACAGTGGTGGACCGCTAATCATCCAGATGGTGTGGGTGGTATCGGGAGTTCTGCCGCGATGTGCGTTTGTGAAATTTGGCTGCTGGCATTAAACCGAACAATTCCTCAGAGCACTCCCCGTGGTAAATGCGAAAGAAAATGCAAAGAGATGCAACATCTCTTCGCAGCGCCAATGAGTCGCGCCGATCGGAAAGGACTCGGTCGTCGACGATTCGAGCCGCTCTGCGCTGGATGCGGTCAAGTGGAAGGAGCTGGTACTGGGGAGCCCCAGCCCAGAGGTGGGAACAGTATTCCATGTGAGGCCGAACCTGGGGTTCTTTTTAGCGTAAACGCGCAAACTTGTGTCTTTTGAGGATTAAACTGGACTAGATTTAGTCGCCCCCAATCCGAGACTTTGTCCAGCAAAGACTCGACTTCAGACACAACTTTGTTCCGGTACTCGGCGACGTTTCCCGAGAAATATTGGTACGGCCGGTGTATAGAGCATCACCAGTGCTGTCATCCGCATAGCAATGAATGCTACCGGTTTGCAACATATCATTGATATGCAGAAGAAACAGCGTTGGTGATAGCACGCAGCCTTGTGGAACACCAGCGTTAATAGGCTTGTAGTCGGAGCATGCACCGTCTACAACGACCTTGTTGCTCCGATCTGCAAGAAAGCTGGTGATCCAATTGCACAATTTCTCGGGAAGCCCATAGGAAGGGAGCTTCGAAAGAAGCGCTTTGTGCCAAACCCGATCGAAGGCCTTCGCAATGTCCAAACTAACGGCCAATTGGACTCTACTGCCTCCGCCCATCTATGAGTCAAGTAGACCAGAAGATCACCAGCTGATCGACCCCGACGAAAACCGTATTGGCAGTCACTAATCAGCTGGTGATCCTCAAGGTACCGCATGAGGTGGCAGTTTATAACTGATTCCATTATTTTAGAGAACAAGGGGGTGATGGCGAAAGGCCTATAGTTGAACGGGTCTTAGCGGTCGCCTTTTTTAGGGATTGGGTGGACAAAAGCTGTCTTCCATGATTTCGGGACTACGCCTAGGGAGTAGGAGTACCGGAAAACACGCGTTAGAACCGGTGCCAACTCCGGAGCACACGTCCTCAGCACAATTGGGGGGATTCCGTCAGGCCCACTCGACTTGTGGATGTCCAGGGAGAAGAGTGCTCTGCGAACAGAGCGCTATGAGAACCGCACATCCGGCATGGAGCACTCATACCGCGGGATGGCCGGCGGTGTGTTCCCCCCGTCATCAATAGTCGAGTTGGACACAAAAAGGGAGCCTAAAAGGGAGCCTTCTTGTTTTATTTGTTCTCGATGTGTAATCCTATTCAGGTAAAAGAATCATCTTCTTCCATTTGTTTTTATTAGTAGTAACGCCCATTCAGTTTTTACCTGCTATATCTATAATTTCATCTGCCTATCTTTTCCTGTCTCCTTACTCGCCTTTTGTCTGTCAGACCTAGCTATTTTGTTATTTGATGAGTCCACCTCTTGGCCTTGTACCTTGCTATGTGACCTGTCCATTTCCATTTCTGTGTTAGACTATACTGTTATCTTTGTTTTCTTGTGAATATCTGTTTTTCTTATTTTCTGTGTTTTCTTAACTACAGTATTTTCATTGCATGATTTCAGGGCAAGATTTTATTTTTACGATGTATACGCATGTTTGGCTTGCATAAGTTAAGCTTGGTAGAATGCAAGAATCTATTATTATATTTTTTAATTTCCAGGTTGTACCTAGTTAACTTTTAGAATCTTTTTGTGCTCAGTATTTCTTCCATGTTACGTTTATTCTTCTGTCAACTTAATTTCCGTTGCTATTTAATACAAATACAAAGACCACAGATTTACGTGGTAATAATATATTTTTGACAGAGTCATTAGCGCTGACATGTGCGTGTATCTCACACATGACAAACAAAATTGTAAGACCTCTACATTTTCAATTTTCAAATTTTTGTATAACATTACGTCCATATTTTTTTACGCCCGTGCCAATCCAGTTACCAGTCTGTTTAATAAAAGAATTACTAAATATGAGGATAGAATCTAGACCCTCACACGAGTAGCTGTTCCCCCTTGTCTTACAATCATCAGCATTCACCACGTGTAGGCAAGATGAACATTTTAAGAAACAGTTGGGATACTTTACTTCACACACTTTGCACATTATTTCTGAGTAATCTGAACAAATATTTAGTGTTAGAAGTTACAAGTTATAACATCTAATACCTCACCTTTGTACAAGTTGTCCCCTAGTCTTGTCAAGAGGTGTGTCACCATCTTTATTGGCGAGCGATACTAAAGCACCTGCAAGCACTAAATCCTCGGCAATAGCACTGTAGCCCCAGAAACAGGCGTAGTGTAGAGGTGAGTTGCCATGCTCATTTGTAAAGTTTACGTCCACGCGGTTTTGGAGCAGCTGTAATTTGAAAACTTGCCATGTATTATAAAACTTGTAAGTTATGTAAGGAGTCTATAGCAGAATATAATGATCGGCTAATGTAGGTTGCTCATACACAAAATGTTTGTGTCTTCTACAAAATGTTCGTACCCTTTTGTTAAGGGATGTCAGGTGGCAGAACTTCTTCCAGCTTAGAAGTCTACATAAGTAGGTACCACTCTCTTTCTTTTTCTGCCGCCAAGGTTAGGTACTCTACTGGGTTCGTTCTTTTTTTTATAGAATAAGGGCACATATTAGTTAATAGTTTACTAAACAGATACATCACTGCCACACAAAAGCGAAAATACCTATGCTATAATAGCCTACAAAATCTTAATAATAATATCTGCTGTTCGCAACGAGAAGAAAATGTACCATAAGTACGCGCATAAAGAGTCGAGATTGTGTTGACCGCCGTGCGCCTCACGTGCAAGCGCGTCATCGCACGAATGCGCTAGGGTTGTACCTATAATGATAATTGTAATAAAACGAATCTTGCGTAATAACCATATTTTTTATTTGTCAATCAAATATGTTTGAGTTTATAAAATGATTTATACATTCTTTTCCTTTTCTGAATTCTCGGTTATTAAATCTTATCGTTAAAAATATCCTAAATCACGTAAATAATTTTAATAAATAATCATGAGGAAAACAGGAGCAAAGCGGAATAAAATCAATGGTTTGTAAAATTTGTAACACGCTGCTGCCAGGCCGATTCATTATGGCATTGTCAAAATTATTTAAGACTTATTATATAATTTATTATATAATTTGGGTGTCCAGGTTGTCACTCAATTTATAAATCACAGCACTGTTATGCTGTTGCTTCGATGTAATCTTATAGTTAAGAAAAAAATGACAATTTTTCATTTGTTTTTTAACTCTGACACCCATCCACTACACAATAATTACGTGGTTGCGGCATTTCGACGAGTAAGCGCAGGAAACGTGCCCGGTGCAAGTACTCAGGCGGGCGTGCGGCAGCCCAATGTCGGTTGTATCGTGGGCGATACGCAGAACGATAGGCATATAACGCAGGGCCTTGAGCGAGTGACGGAGGGCTGATAAGGGTGACAAACGAGCACACAGTCCACGTGATGGTAAGTGGTTGCTGTGGCCCATAGACATCTACATCTATCTTCGTCAGCCGTGAGGACTAAGATAGATTGCCTCTTTTCCAGTAAAAAGGGTTCCGGTTCTCTACACTCACCATACGAAACACAGCAGCATTAAACTGCTATTTTACGCTGGTATTCTGTGAGAGCGTGGTCCTTCCCCGTACGAGCCGACTCATTCATGCTACAACTATACTATTAATATAGCTGCAGCATGGCTCTACCATATAAAAAACTAAAGAAAATCTAAAGAGGATAGAGAGCCAGTATTATTACAGACTGTGAAACATTCCATCTCCTTAGAGGTAACGGTTCATGGGCTGCAGTAGCCAATTACCATCAGGTGTGTAAAATGAAAATTCACCCGCTTTACTTATATATGACGGCTAAATAGTGTCAGCGATGAGAATCTATCAACCATTTCGTCACATGGGTTTTGTAAGTTGCAACTATTAAAACTGCCAGAAAAATAATATGGCTTCTGAAAGATTTTACGCCAGATATAAAATATGTTGTGTGGTGAGAAGAGGCACCAGCTTTAAAGGTATGAAGAAGGATGTACCGAGTTCATAAATCGGCATGCCAAATGCGACTATTAAAGCAAATCTTGAAAGAGGCCTATGTTTAACAGTCTTATAGGCTGATGATGAAAAAGATGAAAAATATCAGCTATGGACCTCATCATTTAGATATATAATCCCAAATTATCTTATTATTTATTATCAGAATAAGTGTAGTGTAGCCCGCCCGACATATTATATATTAGTATTAAAGTAGAAATAGGTTAAAGCAGTATAATTAAAGTTTTGAACTGAGCAACACATCTCCTATTCTTATTAACACCTTCTGACATTAAATAAGATTAGCATGAATACATATGATAGTTTACCAAGAGCACAATAGGACGATGTCCATGGGCAGCAGCCAGGTGCAATGGGGTGTCATCTCCCATATTGGTTACATTTATCCGAGCACCTCTTCGAATGAGCATCTCCACAATCTTGATGTGTCCTTCTTTACAGGCCCAGTGCAGAGGACTGAAGCCATGATCATCACTACAACAAAAATTAGTTACTGTATTAGTGATCAAGACATAATTAGTAATGACAATTTTAAATTATGCTATTTAGTTTTTATTCACTTGAGACTTATAAGTATGTTTGTATATAAGCTATCATACTTCAAACTACTATAAGAAAACAGAAATTTCACAGATAATCTAATTTATTGTTTTGTTATTTGAAATAAATGTTAATTTACTGCTTGGCTTTTAAGATTCAGCCTATGTAATTATCTCTGCCCGGATGAGAAAAGAAAAGGGGTGGTTCCGCCGGAGAGAGTGGGTGTATCCGGTGGACTAACACACCCACCTGTGCTAGGACCTGCGCAGTCGAGCGCCGTACGTAAGGAGCAATGGAGGGTTGAGCCGATCGTCACTAGTAATATAGTGGCGAAAGGCAACACGCCCTTTTTGGTCCGGATTTACAAGCTAAAAGGTGGCCCTATCTGCTAGCCACAGGTAGGGAAATGGCCAAGCGCCCCGTCAAAGGGTTGCAGGCGAGGGAGATGGGGGCTGCCTAGTTTCCTGAAAAGGGCTAGGTGGTGGTACAGGCCATTCTGACGGAGCAAGTGACAGTCATTCAGGCAACGGGGATCGGCCTTTTCAGCCCTGTCTGTCAACTGGATCGAGCTCCAGGTGTCGCGCTGTGAGCCAACTTCGCGTCCCTATATTCCCCCGGTAATCCTAATGCTTGAAATTTCTTATGTTTTAAAGTAGGATGTTCCCAAAGGTGATCCCTAAACAATTTGTATTCGATAAGAAGTATAACATACAATTAAATGAAACCAGTCAGCCGGAGGGATTATGCCCAAAAGAGCTTAGTTCCGATGGTTCTAAAACAAATCAAGGTGTAGGATCTGGAACTTTATCTGAAGACCTCAATATCCACATATGCACACCGCTGGGTACCTACAACACTTTCAGGCGGAATGTATGGTTATCATTCAAGCGGCCATAGCAATAGATGTTAGGAAGGTTAATACTTCTCCATCAGAATACTGACCGACAGTAGGGCGGTACTACAAGCCCTGAGTTGCAATGTGGTGAACTCAGGACTAATATATGAATGCCATCAACATTTAAACGAGGTATGTAAACACAACAATGTGACTGACTCTGCAGTGGATAAAGGGACACAGTGGATCCGGAGGCAACAATGCAGCAGACAAACTGGCCAGAAGAGGATCGGCTATGGCCACTATAAGGCCAGAACCAATCATACCAATTCCCTTTGGTAACGTTAGTTCACTGGTACATCAACTCTTCACTAATCAACACACTCAGCTTTGGACTAATCTAGGAGACTGTAGACAAGTTAGGGAGGCCGTGCCTGAAATAAACAGTTGTTTAACCAAGGTTCTAATGAGACCGTACAAGACGCAGATCAGTATAGTATCAAGTGCTATCACAGGACACAACACCTTTGACAAACATTTATTTACTATAGGTGTTACAGATAGTCCCCTGTGCAGGGCATGTATGGGGAAGGAAGAAATGGCAGCCCACGTATTGCTGACATGTCTGGAAGTCGCTGCATACAGGACTAAACATCTCGGCATGCCACAATCACTCCCCAAAGTTGCTCGCAACATCAGAGGATTGTTGAGGGAGATCTCATGGCTCAAATAAATATATTATTCCTGCCCACAGGCAAAATACGCGCTCAGACATGGCGTTGCGGAGAACAGCTCATTGTTAACTAACTAACTTCAGCCTATGTATGTCTCACACCTGGGCACAAGCCTCCTCTCATTTCCTGAGAGGGTAGGGCATATTCCACGTATTAAATTTTTTTTATAGGATAGGGTGACAAATGAGCACACAGACCATCTGATGGTAAGTGGTTTCTGTGACCCATAGACATTTACATCTATCCTCAATAAAGAATCAAAATGCAGATACATTGTCAACAGTAAGGACTAAGATGTAATGCCTCTTTTCCAATAAAAAGTCACCGGTTCTCTAATGTAGCTGTAGCATGGCTCTACCACATATAATTTTTTTTTTCATAAATGTAAACTCGCTATGGTAGTACCTTCACTGCCATGTACATGAAAATAGAAAAGCAGCAGAAGGGGAGAGCCTTTGTAGCTCAGGGGCTAAGCACTCGTTGTATATTTCACAGTACACGAGCAACCTGGGTTCAATCCCCACCAACACCAATGAGATTATTAATTGTAATTTTAAGTGCTTATTTACCACATTCTCAGCAGTGAAGGTAAACATCTTAAGGAAACTGGCATGTCTGAGAAATAAGAAAAAATAAATATTTCAAAGACATCTGCCGAGCTGCCCTAAAGCTTGTTAATGACGAACTTCACATTTCCTTGCCCTAAAACCCTCTCAGAAATGACAGGCTGCCCATGCCCAGCAATGGGGTGTGTATAGGCTGTAACTTTAAGTTTCACACATTGCTACCAGCAGGGATCAAATCCAAGCTGCTTGCATACTTAAAAATAATTCCAGTTATAGATATATTACACATAAAATCCATGTCTATTTATATTATTTGAAAGCAATACTAGTTTCAAGCCACTAGCTGAAATTAAAGGGATTAGTGTTCATTCCCTCTCATGTAACCTTACCCTCTGCTGCAACCCAAGTGGTTTACATCCTGCCCTGGCTTGTTCCTATTTTGATAAGGCGTGAGGATCGCTCTGCTGAAGACTACTTAGGATACAAGTTTAGTGGACCGAGGAAGGAGGCCTGCCTCCTGATCTGTACAAATCTGTGTAGGGACGACACTGACACATTACATGGACAAGTACAACTACACGTAAAATTTTAACCACCGTAGAGTATTCGTGATATTTTAAACTTACCCTTGATTCATATCATGTTCTGTATCATCCAACCAAACTCGCACCTGCAAAGCATTTCCTTCTCTACACCACTGAAATATGTCTTCCATTTTACTTCTTCAGTATTTCGTTAGAAACTACAAATATTTATCGAAACGTCCTATCTTGGTATATAAATAATTATCATATGTTAACTGATAATCAACAAAAAAAAACAATAATAAAGTGATACCACTGCTTAGATAAAAACTAAGAAACTACTCTGTGATTGCGAATAGTTTGTGACCCAAAGAGACTGATATTGTGACCAAATATTACCACAAACTATATAGAAACACTACGAATATTACTCATTCTATGATAGTTTCCTCAGACATTTCGCAATCACCGAAAATAAAAACACAGTCACAGACTGAATAACTACACAGATAATAGTTAATAATAGTCGATGAAAACAACAAAGAGTATGCAATGTAGACTACGTAGTAGGCATGGTAATATCACTCTTACCCTATATCAAATCGTACCTATGTATTAGATTTGAATAAATGATATTAAAAAAAAATCCGCATACGTGATTTATGAACGATTTTCATTATATATACATTGTATTATTTATGTAACCTAAGTATTCGTTAATATCAATGATACTGCATAATTTGCTGTGGGGTTGTAAAGTGATGTTTTTTATATTATTTTATAGGAGAGGGGGCAAACGAGTATGCGGCTCACCTGATGGTAAGTGACTACCGCCGCCCATGAACAACTGCAACACCAGGGAAATTGCAGATACGTTGCCAGCCTTTTAAAAAGGAGTAGGCTCTTTTCTTGTTGGTCCCTAACAGTGGAGTAGCGTGCCTTAGGGGCCCTGTATCAAAATTTGTCGGGGGCCCAAATGGGGTAAAGATTTTTCACAAAAGGAACAAAAACTCTCGCATTGATTTAAAATGGTTATATATTGATTATAAGTTATTACTTACAATTAATAAGCTAGCCAAACAATTCAAACTAACATCCTGTCCCAGAGAAGTCCTTAGAATTTTTGCTTACATACTTTCGAGGCCTCTGTAGCCTGGGAGCCCCGTATCATTGATACGGCTGATACGGCGGTAGCTACGCCCCTGGTTCCTAAGTCGTATCGGTTCAGAAAAATCGCTGGTGATAATCGATTCCACAAGGAAGTTGTGCGAGGAAGAAAACATCTTCTAATTCGCACAGTGGTGGACCGCCATCCAGATGGTATGGATGGTATCGCGAGTTTTGTCGCAAAGTGCGATGGTGAAATTGGGCGGCTGGAATTAGTCCGAACAATTCCTCAGAGCACTCCCCGTTATATTTATTTTACCTAATACACGTGTATATTTTAAAGTAGTGGTCATCTCGTTTTTGACTAACATACTCGTATTGTGGGTGCTATCCTAACACGGTAGGTACATACATTTGCGTGATGCACCGGTGGTTGTTTCGAGTCTGAGTGTATTTGGTAACTATAAATGTCGTAACAAATCCAATATTTGGCCTTTTTATCAACGATGTCATATTTCTCTAAATAGCCCCATAACATGCTTGAAAATGGACGAAACATATTGCTTTATTAGGTATTTAGATTATATACAAGTACAAAGTTAAACACTAAACTTGAATGAATTAGTTAAATGAAATAAATAGCACTGAATATATATGCCTCCATATGCTATATTACACAAAAACGGTTCAAACATTAAAAAAAAACTATATACTAAGAAAACAAAAAAAAATGTCACATTAAAATTGACTTTAAAAATTTAGAAACCGATTTAGAACCAATCACATAAGAAAGAGCACAAAAAAAATTAAGTATCTATATGTCACCTGTATTCAAATAACGAGACGCGATGCACAAATATAAAAATAGAACACAAAAATCAAATTTAAGCAAATATTTACTTGCGCAAATATTAAATTGGATTAAAAATAACATTTTAATAAGCACACCTTAAGATCTAAAATAGTTTATTTTGAAAACAATGCAACACTACAAAACAATAATAAAATAATACTCGAACGCGGGCACAATTTTATTGAAAATGATGTTCACAATTTTATTGATGATTTATTATCGTATATCTCTCTGATCTACTGAGAAGGATTAATATTATTATTAGGCGTAAGCGTATTGTACCCGTTCGTTGTAAAGTAGTCGTAATATCTGTTTCGGCATTCCGAACCCAGAAAGTTCATATAAAATTAAGGAGCAGTCCCGTAGTTTTCCGTACGGAATTTTGCGAGCAAAACGGGATTCCGAATGTGTGGCCGACCCGTTCGGAATTCCGAAACGGAATACAGTATGTATGATTCCGGCCTTATACACGTCCACAGAATACATGTACCGTAAACGTCCCGCCAAGGTCATGCACGATGCACGTACGTCAAGGTGGACCGTGTATAAGATGTTTAAATAGTTAACACTACAGACTAATATTATGTTGCTAAGTTAATACCTGAACCTAGCCCCAGTTGGATTTAATTTTGAGGTTTTATATTTTTAATTGTTCAAACATAAAAATTGATCGTCTTTTAATTATTTATAATTAATTAAACAAATTTCATCCTTAGGTTGGCCCCCCCTTATTATAAATCTTAATTTTAACCCTTGAGTTTTAAAAAAAAAAAACTATTATCTAATGCTATTAAACATTACTGATATTCCCTTTAACCACTTCTGGTAAGCTGAAAATGCTTGTGTTAGAAGTGGTTCACGACAGTAGTTGAATGGTGGATTCGAGCCCACGACCTTCCGAGTCCACGCCCTGTCATTATACCATAGAGTAGAGTAATATATATTTTGTCACCCAATACAAATAGTGGCACAGTGTCGCCGTCTGGTATCATATCCGTTGAACTAATCTCAATATTTTGACTATAGATAGTTATATGTAGTTATGCATATACAGCTATTTATACTATAGGCAGTTATATTTATATTTTAAGGTATTAGGGTTCTATTAAAGATGTACGACAGATTTCAGTGATTTAAAGATTTATTTACAACAACTTAAAATTACATAAATGGCAAAAGCGTACGTGAAAACGTATATTATTTGTCACATCAATGAAATATTTATTTATCTTTGTTTTATGAACATCCAATAGCACAAGTCCTCGGCATTTTAACAAACAAGATGTAAAAGCGTCTATTCCGCACAATACAACACCAAACCAAATAAAATATTTGTTGTTAAATATTTCGCACAACACTACACATATTATGTACATACAATGTGGTTCCAGCATGAAAAACTAAACGATAAGGCGGGATGAGGGCTAATCTCAACTCAACCAAACTTATTGTATATAGCAACAACAACCGAAAATTACATAAATGGAAAAAGCGTTCGTGAAAACAACGACTTGCTCACACGCCGGTAGCCATTATGTGATAAAGTAATAAAGTTGCCACTTGCCAAAACGAGAAACTTATTGCATCTCAGACCGACAAAATAAATATTTTTATTCAATATATTTTTAAAGAGGCTTTTCAATGTCCGTATAATTATTAATCTTTTATATTTATGATACAACTATAGAGAATTCCATTAACCTCCATACCCAATAACCAGAATTGGTATTATCGCCATCTAGCGCACCTTTTAGAATTTGATGTTCGAAAGTTTATGCGGATATCGTATAAGATGGCACTAGTGTCTTTACAGATTATTGGATCCCTACCTATAGTATGAAAGTGTACCCCCCCTGCATTATACTGAGGCTTTTCTACTGATAGTGTTGCCAACTGCCAGCTTTACCCCGTTGCTAGATTTTTTTTTTGGAGTTTATGGCCTGGTATCTAGACCTTTAGACCAAGTCTTAAGTATTTTTATTCGGTTTATTGTAATTTCCCCACTCCTTCATAGTATACTGCTTCACAATATGTTGATGCGTCACATTGTGCAGTTCTTGGGAGATTTTGGCGGCAACTTGATCCAGCAGACAGCTGATAGTTGGCGATGGTATCTAAAGGTGCCTATGCAAACAAACAGCTTATCTTGAGAATCCATCACCATCAGAGCACTTGTTTCACTGTTTCCACTAATAGTTCACATGCGTAGACACTTAATACACAAAATCGCAACACTTTTACATATCAAAGTCCACTTCAAACCATTATTTAAACAATAATACAGGAGCAGCAAACCGCCGCCGGTCAATTTCCCGCCAAAACTCCTAACCCGTTGCTAGACATTTATCAAAATGTTGCTAGATTGCCAACTTTTTTTTACCCCAAAAAGTTGCTAGAAATAGCTAAATGTTACAGTAGGTAGGTAGATTACAATAAAATGTCAATTTCTGACAATCATTTTTAATTTCCAACAAGAGAGTTAAAATGTCTTGTGTACAGTCACGTGCAATAATATTTAAATAACATAGGACTATATTATATTATATTCATTGTCAACTTTTGTGGCACAAATAGTTTTGTTTCGGAACGCTTAACGTAACAAAGTTCTATTTTAATTACATAATATTATTGTTCGTGACTGTACGTTATTGAATAAAAAAAATAAGTTTAACATTAATCAATAAAAGAAGAAGATTTTTCAGCGGTGCCCATTTTATACAATACATCTTTAGACAAAACATGGTTATAGCAGCATTTACCACTTTTCCTGAGGGAGTCACTAATGCAGAGGATTGAGTTCAGAGTTATGAAACTCAACCAACCTTTAAATTCGTCCATATTTTCCCACTTCGGTCTATATTCCTGTGCGTACGCTTTTTTACAAAGATAAATCATTTTTTTTAATTTTCAAATAAATTTCGTTTATATGGATAAAACAAAATAACACAAGGTGGAATACGAGTAGCGTGTACTATTTTGGTTAGTGGTAGGTTAGTGGGTAATCTGTCGTAACGTAGCAGGAAACGGGGAATTCCCGGCCAACACCGACCTAAACCTACCATAGCATCTATGACCATAGATTCGCGTTTAGTTTTTATTTTTTCTTTCGAGACTCAGTACTCTACTCTACGAATCTCGATAGCCTCACGTCTCATGATGAAATGAAAAGTTGCTAGAAAAAGTGGCTAAAAAGTTTAGCTACCAATGTCATTAAATTGTAGCTGACCGTCACCATAAAATAGCTATGTCTAGCTATAAAGTTGCTAAGTTGGCATCACTGTCTACTGAGGCTTCAATTAATATTTTTTTTTACTAAATATCGTTTGTTCGATCGCTATTCATGATTGTTCGATCATAAATACAACTTAATTGTTAATTAATCAATATTCATAAGTAGTCGAC